ATGGCCACAATGTCAGCGGTTCTACAATAATGTGTGTGCGGATTATGTTCGTACAATACGTCTTTCCCGAAATCCGTCTTTTTCTCAGCATGTCTTCACTTTCTGGCCGTGCCGATTCAGTACCTTCAAGAAGTCGCCTGTACTTGGCTCGCATGCGCCGAGTGGATGTACGCCTTCGAGCACTTGATGTGATACGTGAAGGATAGTTCGGAACGGTGTGCAAAAGATGATCGTGTTGTTCGCGTGATTGCGCGGTTCGTGTGACGTTGCACAACACAAACGCTGATGTAACCTATGTTATCTCGCAACACGCCGCATCCGTATCCCTGCAGCTCTAGCGGTGGCTCCTTTGGGGAGCTGAACAGCACCTGACTGAAATTAAATCGATGAGCGATGCTACATGCTGCCATGGACCCGCCATGTCGTATATGTTATTGAAAATGGACTGGCCATAACTAGAAGCCATGCCACACAGACTGGTTATGAGCTTCCACATTTTTTTTTTACATTATCTCTTCTGACCCACTATGTGCTGACTGATTGCAATTGCGACAGAGATTACTAACGAATGCATGACTTAAAACATTGCACCTTTATTAAAATATATGATTAACTTAGAACATTGACTGAGCGCAACGTTAATCTTGGTAGGCCATGTTAATACAACTGTTGGGGCCAAGTGTTTGGCTATGCACTCGCACGACCTTCCTTAAACCTCTCTCGCTGAACTCACTTTTCCACCATGACTACTCATCGGTCATCTTAAACACTAGCTACTAGAAAACAACTGGTGAACTTCTGTCTGCCTTGTGCTTCCACGTATACGCTAGAATGTAAGGGACAAAAATCACGACCGTGGAACTCGGAACACAATTAATATTAAACAATGTTTAAAATATGTGATACGACAAATGTTACACTGGACGCTGGGATAACGATATGAGCGGGACACACACCGTTCCACACACGACCTGCGAGTTAGCTACGGGCCGTGTTTTCTCTCAGGGAAAGAAACTTGTCTAATGGACCGCAATGCATTTTAAAACTTCTGCCCAACTTTTTGGCAGCTGGCCACAATAATATGCTCTTTCCCAGGCTCTTAATGCATTGCCGGTCGTTTGACATGCCTTATAAGTGAACGCTAATTTACGACATCCCATACAATCCTCTCCGACAAGCCTTAATTGCTAATCCATGAACCCTAATTTTCCAACTGTTTATTTTGTTGACAATGCAACATCTTTTGCTTTTTTTTTTACTCAGCCTTGTTCTATAACCTGCAAACTCGATTGAGTTTTACCTATGTATTGGGAGCCATTGATGACTACACAATTAACTCCAATTGGCTACAATCCCTACGCTGGGACCCCCCTCACTCTTTCATATGTGACATGCCTTCGAATGACATGATTTCCTGCGGGGAAGCCCTACTGTATCATTCATGTTTAACTTATTTGAGACGATGTTGCTCATGCTAAGTGCGATCTACACTATCTCACTTTCAATTTAGCCATCTTATATTACACTGTATTTATTCACAGAATGTCTATACTATTTTAGCCCATATTTCAAGTATTAAGTCTCAACACCACATTGTCGTCTGTCATCCCGCTGTACGTGAACTGTAGCTTGCTCGCGTTGTTGCTTCCTCTCCTTTCTCCTGGAATTCAAGCAGTGACTTTCTCGAAGACAGTTGCAAAGCAGTTGTCCTCTTCAGCAGACTGGCCTTTGCGTAACCACATCTTCCATAAGTCTTTTGTGTGGAATTTGTTCAAGATGCATACAAATATTTGATACATTGTAGACCTTCGAAAATATATGTGTCAAAGAAATTTATGAGTGGTGAAAGCAATACACTTGCAATTCAGAAGAGGATTTATACAACTAATATAATATATATTATACTTATTATTACGCTTTCTATGTATGTAATACCATGCAGTATACCCGCAGCAACTCATACCATGACAGTTAACGAATAGTTGTCATACACGGCAGCATAAAAATTACTGTAGTTGGCGGAACAATGTTATCCTTGAATGCGCATAACTCAGCACATATACTGCCATTACACACATGGTCCACATAGCACGTACTAGTCGAATTAAATGTCCTATCAGTGGATATAGCCACGCGGGAAAACCGAGATCAGTTTGACAACAGTTTACAGCTTCTAACCAACCCTACACGTGGTCAGTGACACTGTCAATATGACGAATAAGTACCACCGCACACCGGCTTATATATCGTTTGAACCAGTTTCTTTGGAGCAAGTACTTACCATCTGTCTGCGTCTGTTCATGTAGCTTGCCATAACTCTCTTTTCAACGCAAAGTCGTCCGCTCCGTGTTCTTTGCAGTTGTTTATAAAATCTTCATATGAAATACTAAGCGTATCTTTAGATCTTTCCTGATGGGCTTGGATTCGAAGGATATGATACACTCACTCCGCTTCAGAAATCGAGCGATAGTAATGTCCCTGACTCTGGTTTACACACCGATTGCACATTTCGCTGAAACTTGTTTGGTGAGCTGTGTCGGACAATAATGCGATTCTGAAATCTCTAGTAACAATCATGGTTTCTTAAACAAACTAATGCCGTGCACAATACCAAAGATTAGTTTAAACAGTCGAATTTCTAAACTCCGCCGACCGCCTCATAACTTGCCCACGGGAAACGGAAGTTTACTGCGGGTATCACTTTAAAGTTCAGCGCGTACCATCAAGTCTTACGTTTTTCATCAAATCGGTATAAACATCTCTAAAATATAAGATACAAAATAAATTGCATTAAGTCGTGCATAATATTACAGTCGATACTACGAATAATTTGACAAAAAATTAATCACATAACATAACTTAGATTTGAAATTAAGTTGAAAATAATTGTGAGCGACGATGATTCGATAGAGAGGCGCATGACTTGTGGCAAGACAGTGAACCACGTTCAAGGATGCGCAGCGACCCAGTACAAAAAAGCAGTTTGTTGTATATCTCTGCGTTGACGATGTAATAAATTATAACAAAGTAAGCATAGAATTAACAATGTGGTTACTCCTAGATATATGCTTAATATCATTGGAGTAAATATCAATATATTATTTCGATGCCCACTTACACCTTACAAGGCTACATGTTTACGTACACGCTAAAACAACAAACACTAAATCAATCGCTATGCGCTATCCGGTCCGCAGCAGTTGTTGCGGCATGCGCTGTGTTCATGTTGTATTACATAAGTGTACATGCTAGTGCTAGGGAGGCGCTTACTCCCTATAACCACGCCTTACTCTCTAACCCAACCTTAATCCAACACCAGCCCTAAACACTCAACACTAACTATAAACCGTACTCGGGTTCTTTATTATACGCTCGGTTTCTAATATATACGCGAGCTGATAGTACCAAACATCTACTCTATCGGTGTATTAACACAGCATAGCGCAACCGCATGTATGCAGGGGCGTCATCGCGTAAGCGGCTGCCGTAGCCAAAACGCTACGGCGGACCCAGCTACAAGGGCCATAAAAATAATCGAAAATCTATAAGTGTAAATAGCATTTTAGACGCTCTAGGATTTAGACAAATGTTGGGTCTTGGGGGAACCCTAACCCTAACCGCGAACCCCAGACCCCCTTTCAGGCACTTCGCACTTCCTACCTACGGCACTCGTTGCCGTGCGCCTGCCGGCAAAACTGCAACAATGTAACAGGCGCAATGCGCAACAACTGCTCGGCGATAGCGCGCATACGAACAGGTGTCGCGATGCTTGGCCATTGGACGATATCCACGTCGGTCTAAATCAACTACACTTCGAGCCTCCTAAGAGTTCAGACTAAGGCTGCGAGTGAGAGCGGCCCCCCCCCTCTATGCCCCGCGGTGCTGTCGCACGGAGACGTACCCTGCGTACGGTCCGGCCCTATTACCGGAGTTACCCGGTACTACTCTAATTGGCGGGACCGTACCCTCGACCTACTCTACTAACGACGTCTAGGGGAGCGCCGGGAGACGCCTACTCTCTAACCCTAACCATATCAGATAGTTACCAGGTACCCAGGGTACGTTCCAGCAGTACCCTGGGGGACATAGACCCTATGCGCCCTCCTAAGTCCTAACGACGTAATACTAGCCCGACCAGGCTGTGTGACTAACGTCAATATACATTCGTCTCTTGGTCTCTTGATGTGTGACCGTTTCTTGGAGCTACTAGTTAACGTAACAATCTTGGTGGTAGTGTGTTAGATCTTGCAAACAACCTACCTAATAAACCACGTCGCTTGTTGGCTGATAGAAAACTTTATTTTCCGAAGAAGTGCCAGGGCTTTTACGTTAGAGTGAAACAGAGGGATACAAAATGGATTAACTTTACATGTCATTTTACCCAATATTATTCAAACTCAAAGTGGCTGGAGGTACGGCAGCCGTCGTTCGTTGAAGCCCCTTTTGGCGTTTGTTTGAGGGCTGAGGCAATTATTTGCGATCTTCTGATGTAAAGTTTACAATAATGTTCATTTTCATACCTAATCCGAGTGTTTTCTAGCTTATCAAAACTCTCAAATTGTGAGTTTATTTCCCAATGCATTATTTCGAAATCTGAATTGGCCAGCGGCCGTTGGAAGCGAATGGACTGCCGTACCTCCAGCCTTGTAAATTGGAGATACGGCTGCCGTACCTCCAGCCACTGCCAATATTATTCATTCAGTTTATTGGCAATAACAGTCACCCATGAACGAATTGAATTTCCACCACAAATATTGCCGCAAGAGCTGATTTTAGGGGTTGTGATGTAAGCTGTTGGTCACAAGAAATTATGGCCAAAAATCTCTAATTTGTGCATAGATGTGGAGTTATTGTGTAAAAACATAAAACAATTAACATCCATAACACTAAGTTAAAACATTTTGACCCAACTGTTTTACTCTGGAAAGTTTAAAAATGCATTCACTATTTTCGAATAGCCAAACGACTTTAAATCGAAGGTACTTGATCCTTTACTACAGGGAATTATTTGAAAGTATTGCTTCATCCAAACAACAAAAAGCAACAGGTCTAGGAGGAACAGAAGATTATCACCAACTGACAGAACTTCTTGTACAGAAAGATCAGGAACTAAAGGATGCACTCAACTTGGGTAAATCATAATGTAAAACATTAAATGATTAAACCGACCTACACCGTAGAAATTAAATTTCTTCACTGACCTTGGGTTTTGCTGAGTTTTAATTAGTGGGTAGGTCTGCCCATGAAATTAAATTGTTTCTATTACAATCATGGGACTTAGGCTTAGCCTGTTGTGCTTACCATATATGAATATAATTTCATATAGGTGACTGCTGAGAGTTCCGAGCATTTTACAAAAATTGCCATATCCTAGACGAAAATTATATAAATTTATTTCAACATTTATAAATAAAAGATAGAGGTGTATGACCATATGGAACTTGAGCAAGTTGGCAAATTAGACATGTTACTAATTAGACTAATATGCTGTTAGCTGGAGAACAGGCTGTAATCCAAAAGAAGATTGATTCGCTGAAGGCAGAATCTTTCAAGCGAGACCAGGACATCCGAAAATTACAGCAGCAACTGAAGGAGGCTGAGCATGTACTGGTAATGAAGACTTCAAATATATTCTGTGTATATTAGGTTCTTAATCTTGACACATTAGTAGGCTAATTTCTTAACACATGTTTCTGCTGGTTGCAGTCAACAGCAATCTACCAAGCAAAGCAGAAGCTAATTTCAATACAAAAGGCTACAAAGAACCAGGTTCCCTCTGAAGAGCTTATCAAGTATGCTCATCGAATCAGTGCTTCAAATGCTGTTGCAGCCCCTCTCACATGGCAGCCCGGTAAGTGCTTTATTAGCACTGCATTGCGTTGGTAATTGTAGAAAACGTTGAGGAGCTAGTCTGATCATTAGACACATAATTGAATCGGAGGGTGGCAAATCCTCATAACCTTATCTTGAAGATAATTTATTCTATGTTATCAGTGGTGTATAGTGCATTAAATTATGTACTGTTTGTGCTGACGCTAACCTTTGTTCAGGTGATCCCAGACGACCTTACCCACAGGATATTGAGATGAGACTTGGATTTCTAGGTCGTCAAAGCGACCTGCCCATTAATGGGCAAATGTTGCAGGCTCAGTCACAAGGTAATGTTTGCACATTTTCAATACTATGTATGTTCACACTTGAATATTTAACACATGTTAACGGGTAAATATGCACATCGTATGCACATTTTACATAAGCAAATGAATAATCAATACTTTGTTTCTTGTATAAGTGTAAAATGTTACCACAAATTTCCCTATTTTATTGGATGCCCTACACTATGAAATAAAAAAATTATGGACTATTTACGGACATTGGAGAAAAATTATGGACAACTATTACAACTAAGAATAACTATGAACAACTGCGGAAGGTCTGTAATGAAACTGTTTTTGGTTGTAGTCGTACATGGTTGTCCGAATTTTCATTTCTAGCGCTAGCATGTGAATTCACACAACCTATTTCACAAGGTGATATTATTTCCAGCTTCTCAAGGCAGTTCATTGTCTTGGCAACCACCCCCAGAAATTGCGCCAATGGTGTCCCAGGTCGCAATAAACCAGAGTGCAATGTCTGTCGACTCCAAGGGGCACAACAAAGAAAATGAAGGGGACGAGGTAGAAGTCATGTCAACCGACAGCTCTAGCAGTAGCTCAAGTGAATCTGGTTGAGGGTTTACATTCCCAGGGTGCGAAATTAACGGGATTCTGGAGTCAAATACTCCCCGATTTACTGACGGACTCCCTGATTTGACATATGCAGGAGTCCGTGTGACTCCCTGAAAATTCTGCCATGCTAACTACTTCGTTCCGGAGCATGGACTCGCGGAATTACCGTATTTTTTCAGCTAATGTCCAAAGAAAATTTGGCGGACGTGCAACCGCATGCATCTTAAAAATAAGCACATGCGTTATTGTTAATATCTTTAATTTTGAACCTCAGACTGCAGACTCACTCATTTTGCTGCGGACTCCCTCTTTTTGAGGGTAGGGAGTCCGTTGGACTCCCGTGTTCAAAAGTTAATTTCTACCCCTGCATTTCGTACCACCATGTCTTTAAATATCACAGCTCTTGTAACAATCTCAATCTATTGTGTAAATATAGTCGTTAGTATTGTGTCTCAATGTCGTGAAATACTCGATGTCATGAAAACAAAGTACAATCCTGGTAACATATGTAGACACGACCCTTTACTCCAAATAATTATGATCTGTGTGTGTGTAGCATAAACATTAGTTTTGTACAAAACTTGTTTTGTAATTCAAGCATTTTTTATATAGCATACTGATACAGTTTTTACATTATGGTGTTTCAGTACTGGAAACGTAATGAAACAGCTTTTGATAAATACTATAAAAAATGTCAAAAGATGCAATTTTATAAGAGAAAATTTCAATGTACACAGTTCATCACAAAAGGTCATTGACATGTAGTGTAAATAATAAAATCAGCTTTGTGTAAGGATATAAAATGTCACAATTAACTCGAACTTAACTTATTTGAACCTAACCTATCTATAAAAAGTTACGAAACGTCATATTTTATACCAGTTCCTGTACAAATAAAATAATAGTAACTAGTCGAAAGCCAGTGTAATTACTGCTATCTAACATTTGTGTGTTCACACCTGAATGGAGTATACAGGAAAGCTTAAAACCAATGTAACACTAGTTTTTTGCTTGTCGATTGCAAAAGTTGTTAGTGGTTGCCTTGAACGGGAGTAATCACGTGAGAAATTTCAATTTGTGTGCTAAAAAAATTTCTTCAGTATATATATATATATATATATCTGGCTGATGTATTTTTTAATCTAATAACCCCCAAGTGTACAATCTATCCTTCAGGATTCTGAACAACTGCATTATATAATAATGTATGCAAATTTGACTGCTGCGTAGCTAGCCAACCTCCTAAAAACCTGCTTGTGAGCTTAAGCCGTCGTGGCCCAGAGTTTGAAAAACACTGCTACCACTGATCGTACATTTCTGGCAAACACACCAACATGTATGGTAGTGACACAGGATTTAGTTGTTCAAGAAACGTGACATCAATTCTCTAAGCTCATGAGCAGTGCGGTACCACGCTTCGTCCAGTGGTCAGCTGCGTCAGTGCCTGCCTTGAGATCAATAGTGACTATATATGAGCCTTCCCTCTTGCCGTAGTAATAGCATGGGCATGCATACACACCTAAATATAGAAGATAGAGAGTATAGGCTAACATGTCATCATTTGTCTTAACCAGTTGCATAATACGATTTTCATTGTATTTTTGTCCAAATATTGTAGTGTTACAAGCACGTATTACTAGTGAATAAGTGTTATGTCTGCAATTATAATTATGTTGTATTATCTGGTCAACATACATTATTAGATACCGAAAGTTTTGTCCAATATTTCTGTCATATGTTTGAACATGCGGAGTACACTTCGTACCTTTGCTGCTCCTCTTCTTGTCAATAGGTTTAAAATGTATGGTTGGCATTGGACACACCAGTTGCATGGGCTTTGCCTCAATAAGGCAGCTGTCCTTTTTATTCCACCCAGCTCCCTCAAGGTACATGCCCTTGATATACACACCATCCTACAACGAGAACATTAACTTATTTTGCAAGATCAGATAAACCATGTCAAGAACACATGAATTAATCGATAATGTCATGCCTCCAATGATACAGTAATCAAGTAATCAAATATTGAATGCAGACAAGTGCCGCAGAGCGACAGCACTCAACTGACGTGTTCTGTAGCTGGGTATTCTTCTGATAAACTCACTGGCAACCGAATCAAGTGTGCCCTCCCGCCACCTCGTTCGCGCTCAGAGCATCTAGGATACTACTAATACAGATCTAAAATCTATAATAGCTAGGCTTTTCTAGACCGGTAGTACAGTAATAAAGATACAGCTGTGTAACTTTAATGAATTCGCTATATTAACATGTTATCATACGATATGCAGTCGAGCCGACGAGCATAACTGGTTGGTGGTGGTGGGGGGAGGGTGGGGAGGGGCTTTATAGCAAAAGCAGTTCAGTCCTTTGTTAACAGTCAACAAATCCATGTTTAACCCGCTTGAGGGTCGAAAGGTTATCAGACACTGTATCTTCGCACGTCAGTGGAAAATACATTTCATGGTCCTTTCAATAAAGTGATAAAAATGGTAGGTCAGCGCTGAAACAAACAAGTTTTGCACTTCGACCGTTAGACCATGTCCTCAAAAAATGTCTGATATCTGACATTTCCCCCACTGCCCTTTGACCGGTTTCCTCCCCATCACACTATACATCGAATATTAAGAGCGTAGGTCGAGCGGTTGAGATTTGTGCCGCAATTCCGCCCCCCCCCCCCTGCATCTGACTTCGTCAGCTGAGCTGAAAACCAATCATTGTACGAGTGAGCAGTAACATCTAGCGAATTTGAAAGCACACGTGGGAATGACTGCGGGATTCATACCTTTGGTGCTCCCGTGCCTAGCAGCATGGAATCGTCAGTAGTGGACACTACGAACTCCCATGACAGAGAATCAACAGACGTATTGTTCTGCCTCGCAGCCGTCTGCAAGCAAACATTCGAAATATAATGATGACCGAGGTGGCATCCTTAGACGATCAACCCTGCCTGTGATACTACCGAATTAACCACCGATGAGCACCATGATTAGTAAATTATACATGTACAAGGTTTAGAACAGCTACATACTAGTACGGCTGAAAGCACTGGAGTATAAAAATGGGAGACTTACTGGGGTATTTCAGGTTAGTGTTATGGTTACGGATAGAGGTGTTCCAACACTACCCAAAGAGACATTAGTTTGGCTCTATTAAGAGTCACCTGTGCAGCATACCTGAAGCACTGCCGTAAGAAAACCGGTTGGAAACGTGAAGCCAGACAGCCAAAAGATTGTGGGCGGATGAGTCCTCGTTGCCCATGTCTCAAACTGATCTATTCGCAGTACGAGGTCTCGTGTCCAAGTGCCTAGTGACTTCAAACTAGGGTAGGTCTGTTAACAGTACGTGAAGCAGTATATTATTCACTTACTAAATGTCTTGTGGACTTTCCCTTGAAAGTATTGCTATATCACAAAATTATTGTCATTAGAATGCATTTGTATTTTAGTTATATTTTTAAATACATATAGCAATATAGTGGAACACCGTTATAATGAGAATTGGGGCTCAATAAATTCAATGGCGTAACTGACATGCAGGGCTGCATGCTATAAAGTATAAGGAGCGTTTCGCTAAACATAACATGCTAATACGATTTCTCTGGATTAATTGGTGGCTTAACGTGGTTGAATCATGGTGGCTTTTATCAAGTAAAATAAAATATAATGGATAAATAAAGGTTACCTAAGTGGACACGAATGGGAGAAAACAAGAGCAACACAACTGCGAATTTGATAAAAATAAACAAAAGAGAGATAATCGAATTTCTCTTATTGCAGGGCACATTATATCGCGGCTCTACTGTATAGTTATAGCAAACACATTGTATTCTACTCTAGAATATGATGAGTGTTTAGATTACAAGGTATGTCAACTTGCAATCTACTCTGCGTGTATCTGTGACAGGATCACTGTACATTCTTAATGTAGGATAACTCAGAACTCCTGTCTCACCTTGGCCCATGCCGGTGGCACTCGGCCATCGTTGATGCAGGTGAAGATCTCTTCAAGGTCCGCCGACATGACAACAAGACCCTTGATGCCCTTCTCAAGGTCGATGAGGGAGGTGCGGATCTCCTGTAGCAGGGCGTTGTAGCGCTGGATCTTAAGAGAAAAATGCGCAAAGGAAAAGTACAATTATTCTCTATTGTTCATCACTTGTATTTCATACACGTTTGAAGAGAGGCATGCACGTGAAATTGAGGCCTGGAACAGCTTTACAGGATGCCAGGCCACGGCACTAACCTATGAAGATTTCATGCTTGTTATACGATGCCCCGAAACTCATACTTTAGCAATTAACTACACGTTTTTAGTCGTAGCAGCCCACATCATCTTCTACTAATTCGGTAAAGCTGACAAACGACTAGGAGGCATATAGGAGAAGAGTTCGTTCACGATCGTTGCATCATGCAGCATCTGCCGTACCTCCTGCAGCAGCACGACGTTGAGAGGAGAAGGATCTGTCGACAGGAGCTTGGCCGTTCCGTCGTAGTCTATATCGGGTGGGATCCGGCGGAGCACATCGGCCGCCATCTCCAGCACCTAGCAGGAATGCAGCCGCACATAAGGTAACAGTTAGTTAGAGGAAGACCGGTGAAGCACGTGACTCAAGTGATTTCATAATGAATAATGCTCCTCTAGTATTAGTAACATCAGGTGCAACATGCTTTGTTTGAGTCGAACAAATTTGGAGGTGTGACGTCTCTGTGTCTCATTTAGAAACTCATCTGCTGCAAGATCACCAGGAAGACTAGACACAGAGGGAATGCCACTCACGAGTGATAGTCGTGAGAGCCTTATACCTTGTCTTCTTGACTGACACCGCCCTGCACCGCAGACACCTGTGGCTTCAAGGACAGTAGCGTGTCGAACAGCGTTCGCGTCTCGATGATCTGTGACGATATGTCGGCATTGGGGTGTTGTCCAAATGCATCAGGATGATCGACAGCTGGCAGTAGGTTGATGTATTCCCTGTATGACTGCAGAGGACCATCCTTTGGAATGTAATACACTGGCAGAGAGGAAAGTCTGCAAAGAAAAATGCACAATCCTAAACATCCGTTAATGCACACATGTTGGGCAGTTATGGTGTACTTTTACAGATAGTCACGCTAGTCACGATAACAAACGCTGTAGTTTAAGGTTCTTTAGTTTCGTCTACTTTTCTTATAATTTCTTTATGCAAGTTGATAATGTATAGTAATCATGAGATTCAACCACATTGAGCTGAAGCTCCAGCAGTAACTCAATCAGCAATGTGAACATACTTGAAGAACGTCGTCGCTATGGCCTCCTCACAGAAGATCTGCTGTATGTAGGAGTTCAGTAGACGCCTGTCAAAGTCATCTGTCACATGGCCGCCATAGTTAACACCAGCTATCAGGTACTTGAGCGCTTCCCATGGTGTGTCGTCATATTCATCCAAATAGATGCTGAGCAGGTTCTCTGACACCTGTATAAAGACAATCCAGCAAGGCTGCTAACTCAGCACAGGGTACCTTGTACTTTGAGACAGAAAGATGGCTACCCAAAATAGGGACAGCGAGGTGAATATTATACGTGAGAACAACAAGATGTTTACTCACAATCTAAACAATAATAATAATAATAATAATGTAACAAGATGTTTACATGGACACAGAAAGTCACAGCTATTCCACGTATGGATATAGCAATTAAAGTATATAATGCAAGTAGGGAGGCAACGTGGTTACTAGACGTGGCAGCAAGACAGCTATTAAGCATAACTAACTAATATTAGGCAAAACTAATTAAAAGTTAAAAAATTACCAAGTTATTAGAAACAAAAAGTTAATTATAATAACAAAAAAGATTAGACTATATTAAAACGAACTAGCTGCTACGCATGGCAACAGCAAAGACTGACTTGCCTCAAAGTCAGAGTCATTGAAGCCATAGGGGATGTTCCAGCCAAGCTGCAGGAACTTGCGCCTCTCCAGGAGGATGGAGTGGAAGAAGCAAAGACCAAACAGCAGCTTCTTGTACTTGTCTGGGCGCCGGCAGTGCGTAAACTGTGGTTCTGTCATGAGCTGGTAGAGGCGCTTCATGTTGGCACGCAGACCCTGTACAAAGACACGTATAGCCATCAGACAGGAGTGTATAGGAGACCTGGACTGGCTCTATAGGGTGCATATCCGCTGCACTACCCCATGTATGTGCAACTAGCGTGTTGTTTGATGCCATAAAATAAGGAAGGCTATTGAGGAACGAATGGACAGACATCAGACCGGCATTGATTGAACCAGCTTAGTTGACGTTGACTAGCTTTCACAGCATAGTTAACACCAGATAATGCACCTAAAAGGCAGATAAATGCGTTTTAAAAGGATGGAAGGGTCTCTTTATCATGATTACCTAATTACACTGGTGAGGGCTTCATATAAATAAATCTGTATATATGCCTAATTAGACGCACTCTACTGTTAGTAAAATTTTGGCAAGTTCTTGACAGTTGTAGTATGCACGTACCTTTGGCGGCTCGGTGGTCATCTTTATGCCAGCTTGCAGGATTGAGATGGGGAAGTCAGGGTGGGGGCTGCTGCTCAACCACAGTCTGAAGTCTTGATGTGGCTCCTCTACCTGCAGCTGCTCCACCAGTTTATCGAGCTGGGGCATCCAGCTCAGCGACAGATGACAGTTTGCCAAGTACACCCATTTACCCTGAAAATAAACATCACAACCTTGCGGAATCACACACGGATTCACTCGGAAGGAGGTCATTACGCATTCTTACTGGCCGATGTGGAAATAAAAATAGTTGGTGTTATGGTTAGGTAGCAGTTCTTACTTGAATGGTATACAGTAGAAACTACAGTATCAAAAGCCTACAAAAATTGTGAACACTAGTTGGATTTTATTGTTTAAACTATCGCAACCCGAAATCTTGAACAGCACAGAACTATGGGAACATGGTGCAATGGCGTATGTCACACCTCTCTGATGCCATCTTTGATCATTCTGGTAGCAATCGGAGCCTGGCCCTGGCCCAGGGACAACGCGTGGAAGCGGTTTGCCATGCCAGCGTTCTCTGCGAGTTGCAGCAGGCTGCTTGTGGGATCCACTCCCGTGGATAGCACGAAGATGAGCGGCGTCTTTGCAGAAGAGCTTTCCAGTACCGCGTTCATGTCAAGCACAGGAGGTTCCACGAACCTGAATGCAACACGCCAGTGCATATATTTACAATAGGGCGTACCCGAGTTGGCGATAAGTGGTGTGTTTATTGTTACCTTTGGCACTGAATTATAAATAAATGGAATCTACATTGGGTAGTGCAATGGTACTGCTCTTCATAGAACTGGTCGAGGTCAATATTTCACACATAGCACCATCGAGTGTGGTCCTACTGGATGAGCTTCCTGAACTTTGGTGGGGACAATTTACACCATGTTAACAATGACTTGTCACAACTTGTGGTAGTCTCGTCAGGTTCTTCTAGCTTTAGTTTTTGTCTCGGATGGCCATCCACCAAGCAGCTCTTTCAACACAGCAGTGCAACTGAGACGTGAACGGTAAAGGCAAAAGGTAGTATGGCAGGGAAAGGGGGAGTGTGCATGGTGGATAAAAAGCAGGTCTTACTTGGAGCCAAGGTTGTTGACAATGAATGACGTGACGCAGAACGAGATGCGGTCAGGCCGCAGTGACCTGACGACGAGCATGCGCTGCAATTCATTGCACTGGTTCTCCCATTCCCCTGCAGTAGTCAAGCACACGTAGTTGTTTAACAGTAACAACAGCAATTAATAAGGCAAAGAATGTAACTTTTCTTACACATCCAATATTCCTCCCACTCCCAGGCACTTAACAATAAGTTTGTAGTGCTAAACAAAACCTTTCGTTTCAAAGATTTGTTCAAAACGTGAGTTGTCTTGTTTGTAATGGCCATCCAGAGTTAGAACTAAGGTGCATAGCCTAAAACAACTGCCGAAGCATTTATGTTGCCACCTACATAACAGCTCTTGAAATCACGTATAGTATTTATATCCATATAAGGATAACTAATGTGTAATAGATAACACCCAGAAGTAGGTGAAGTTGGTACTACCAGGCAGATGAGCTTGCTCAGGCTCTGGGCTAGTGAACCAAATGTTCCAGTCACGCGGGTACTGCTCGAATGACGTGGCGATGCCATGAAAATTGGTCAGCTTGTCTAGCTCTGTGATATTGTCCCATGAGCTGTTTACTATCCAAAGTGGACAGGGATTGTCCATCTGGCCCTCCTTGTCCAGTACCTATATCGCATATGAAAACAGATTGTAGCCAATGACTTTCATATTGGGTAAATGTTTTAGTATTCCGGAGATCGTGAAGGACGACATAGTATACGAGTACTATAGTATATAAATATGTAGTATATTACTGCAGTACAGATATCTTCATGCTAATACTGGTGCTTTTGGTGTAATATTAAGATATTAGCTACTAATATTGATATTCTTCTCTTTAGGTCGATGTGCTGGATATACTGACCACGCCACCCCTCAGGAAGAAGTTGTACTCATCAATGTTCAGTTTTCCGGCCACCTCCGTGATTTTGGCACACATTTGGAAAGAGAATAGCAGTTTGTGTCTCTCAAACAGGCCTCGGCACGTGTACCTGGCCGGACAATAAGAACGTGATTGGTTGTAACAAGGACAAGCTGCTTTTATTAACCTTCATTATGTGCACATTTATGAAATGATTCATAGTTTGTGGCGAATAAATGCACAGAAATCACCTTAACGCACGCGTGAATGCAGAATGGGTGCATGAATGTAATGTATATATTCGTATATGTAACACATCAATATAATGTGTTAATGACTATAGTGTAATATATACACTAGCAATGTGTGTGAGATTTTTATATTAGTTTTATTTATTTATTTAGTATAAATGTGTTGCTATTTATACCTGTAGACTGCATAGGTATGATAATCATTCAGGTGTTGTATCCGCTCTTCCAGCTCAGTGCTCCTCTGGCTCTTATCAATAGACATGTTGAAGAGATCAATGTAGGCATCGAGCGAGAACTGGTACATTGGGTCGATGCGACCCATGTCGTTGAGCACGAAGAAGAGGATGGATGCCCGCTGCGCACAGGATCGGTATCCCTAGCAACAAAATACATGTATATATCTCTCAGACCACGTTCATAGTTAAGCCCATCAACTGTTATCAATAATTAGCACATAACTGTTATATTTAGAGACAACCTATCTCAATAATATTAGTCATGTACGTAACATACGTGATTAAGTACAAGACAGTACAAACCTCTCTGGCTGCATCGATCTTAATCTCAGTCTCCTCACTGATCAACAGCTGCTCCTCTACCTCCTTTGATGTAGTCTTAGAGTTCTGTAGGGTGTTAACGAGGGCCTCGTCATCCAGCAGTGATCCCTGGGCTTCATTCAACAGCCTATAGACAGTATTGTAACATTCAACAGCCTATAGACAGTATTGTAACATACAGCAGTGATCCCTGGGCTTCATTCAACAGCCTATAGACAGTATTGTAACATACAGCAGTCTATAGACAGTATTGTAACATTCAACAGCCTATAGACAGTATTGTAACATATAGCAGTGATCCCTGGGCTTCATTCAACAGCCTATAGACAGTATTGTAACATTCAACAGCCTATAGACAGCATTGTAACATACAGCAGTGATTCCTGAGCTTTGCTCAACAGCCTTGCCCTGGTCGCATACACATTACAATTTAGCATGGGATAACGTAGTCTGAGACAATTTAGCACGATTTGAACGGGCGCCTGGTCTACTTCAATTTTGCAGACTAACTTGGTCTATTAAAACACTTGATACAGGCATAGCCGCAACCTCTCACATACACCAACATGCAAGCAGGCATGCATGCACGCACGTACGCACGCACATGCACACCCCTGATATATCGGCATATGCACCTGTGCACATAAATATATATCACTTAATTTGTTGAAAGTTAAATCACCACAGTTTCTTTAGTTGATTTATTTGATCCCAGGAAATGGCCACATAACAGCATTTTAAGAATCGACCCTTATATGCAACAGATGCACTTGTAGCATGGCCAGCGCAGTCGAGAGACGTCTGTCAGTGAATGATATCATGCAGGAAATATACCTGAGGATCTCATCCTCGAGTTCCACCAGCTTCTTCTTGCCTGCTGCGATGTTGATCACAAGACTGTCCTTCTGCTCTTCCAGTTCGGGTCGCTCCTTCCTGACGACTATTCCCAGCAGCTGCGCCTCAAGACCTGTTGGTATAGGGCACCAGTGCATCAGTAAACATGAACGCCAAATATGATAGCATACTCCACACTACAAACCACTGGTAAGTTTCTGGCAACTGGCGATAATTTCACGTAAATACTTGGTACTGTTGTCTATAAGTGTGCATAGTGTTCACAACCAATCAGCGCTGTCGCCTGTTTCAATAAAAACCTTGTTCCTTGACAGCAAAGTTGACGACTGTTGTCTTAGTGGCGATCTCGGGCGTGTAGTGGGGATTGCTCAGCTTCGTGGTGATGTAAAACCTGAACTCTGGGTTGTACTCAACTTCCTTGTCACCCAATTTTATTAACAGTCTGCCACCTGCAATACATTATATGGCAATGCAATGATACACTCATCGATACTCTACTGACAACTGAACTAATATAATAAGCCATATAATTTAGCAGCTTAGATATATCAAAAAACAAAAGTAACATGACACAATTCCATAGCACTTGTTTGCTAAGTGCTCCATGATACTGATCTGTTCTGTTGACTGGTTAAGTGTATGGTTTGCTAGGTAGTTTCTCTTGAAAGTATAGCGATACTTATTGCAACGTGAAAGGTGTATCGTGTTACAGATTGTATCGTGAGATACCAATATCTTCCCACTCCTAGTATTTATACAGTAGATATCAAGCTTAAATAGAGTGCAGAGCAGTACTCTTTTTAATAGATTTATTGAGGGCAACCAGTAGTTCTAATAAAGTCTGAACCATTGACCTTTTAACTGCTACCTGGATATGACTGCTCTCATTTAACATACCTTGCTTTATTATAGACTTGTTGAGCACAGGTGCAAGTGAAGGATCCAGCTCTTCCTGCACATTCTGCAGGAGCACTGGTGTCCCAAACTGGATGGAATTCTCCAGTGTGCGCAAGTAGTCCGTCTGCTGCAAGTCTATGATCTTCAAACCCTGAAAACGCATGGACAGTAAAATAACTAGCATCTATAAAGGTTAATCAAGTAGAGTGGCACGTACTGTTACATTTACCATTATTGCACCAAATTTTGCAGAAAGGCAGTCTTTCATCTCCATAAAATAATACCTAAAATAAAATTAGGATCAATTTCATAGTTTTCAAACTGGATCTGTCCTAAATCTATTGGCATGGTCTTCTATCATGCATGACCTCACCCTGATGTGTTCCATGTTTTTGATCCATTTGATAGCCTGCCCTTGAGGGTCAATCATGAGAGGCCAGCGACTGCAGCGGGATACGATCACCCCGTTTTCCGTGGAGAAAGCGTCGTTGGGCAAGCCTTGGATGTTCCAGTCCCTCACCGTGGTCGCCTTTGCAAGGAACTCACAGAAGCTAAGTGTGGGAGTGCAGGGCACACCAAGCTTCTTGATCTGAAAGTAAACAAAGACATAGCTGATTATAATAAGGGGTTCTAATTAATCAATATTAAATCATCAACCTACAATCTCATCAATCTCCATCACGTCAAACCTTTCCCTATGATTACTCTGTATCACGGTCTAGCCTCACTATCACGGACAGCAGTATACCTATATCTGATGATGTAACTACAGCAGCATGTTGCGCAGAGACACCCGCAATGCTGGAGAAATGTTCATGTAGGGTCACGTTGCATTGGTGATGTGAGACCTGTACAGGCGTATAGCATACCTGCTCGAGCCAGATGTTATTAACGAGTTCGTCTCTGTAGTTAGACAAGAATGGTCCCATGTAGGACATGAAGCCAGCAGCCACCAGGCAGTCTCCAACCAAGTACTGTATCTGTTCATCTAATTTCTACAAGAGAAAAATGCAGCATGTAAATGCTATATAATTATTTGATGAACAAGTGATATATCGCTGTTTACAGAGAACATTAATTGCAATCAAATAATAATAAAAAATATACATGCAGGTTTTGCTTCAATAGTGACAATTTTTTCAGATAAATTTACCTCTCACCCACTCCAAAGTAAGGTATTCCCCTGTGCAATTACTAGCACACTGGCTTCTCATTCCCCCTCCCTATTGTCAAAGCCCTCTATCAATATATCTGCTCACTGCTCCCCTTGTCTTCGTTTCACTGGCTAGGCCAGTTACCAACTTACCTGTACACTGACCACCCATCTATCCTTCTCACAAGCAAGGCCTTCTACCAACTTACCTGTACACTGACCACCCATCTATCCTTCTCACAAGCAAGGCCTTCTACAAACTTACCGGTAAACTGGCCCCTATCTATCCTTCTCACCAGAAAGGCCCTCTACTAGCTTACCTGTACACTGACCACCCATCTATCCTTCTCACAAGCAAGGCCCTCTACCAACTTACCTGTATACTGGCTCCTATCTATCCTTCCTCACAGAAAGGCCCTCTACCAGCTTACCTGTACACTGGCCTCCCATCTATCCTTCTCACAAGCAAGGCCCTCTACCAACTTACCTGTATACTGACCACCCATCTATCCTTCTCACCAGAAAGCCTATCTACTAGCTTACCTGTACACTGGCCTCCCATCTATCCTTCTCACCAGAAAGGCCCTCTACCAGCTTGCCAGCGCGGTCTAGCTTCAGCTCAGTTTGTTCTGCCTTGCGCCGCAGATCCTCCTTCTGTGCCAGCTTCTCATCATATTGCTTCTTCAGGTCCTCCATCTTATCTGTCACCTAGGTGCAATCAGAGCAGTGAGAGTGAAATCACAGCAGTGGATAAATAGAATGATGCACTCACAAGCATATATCACATAGAACACATTTACATACAGACGGACACAATATTCACACACTTTCAGGCATGCAAATCCATGGAAAGATATCCAAGTGATCAGACTAAACTAGACACATATGAGCACTAGCACGGCGGCTACCTCTTTGAGTTTGGCTTTAGCAGCAGCAAGTGATGCCTGCTTCTCACTGAGCTGAGAAGTGGCACCTTCAAGTTTCTGCCGCTTTGGCTCCACAACACTACCAACATAAAAGCAAATGAAGTTAAACTAGTACTAAAAGATTCATGTTGCATGTGTGCGAGCCTATCACTGAACATGACAACAACTATATTTCGTTGAATATTTAAGAAACTTAATGTTTTGCGCGATTCGATTAAGTTTGGGAAATATCAAGTATTGTAATTATTAAATTGTGGGCCAAGGTTATAATCTGCTACGAAAAACATGAAACTTTTTTGCAAGGAAAGTTAACAATGAATAATGCCAAGAAAATTGTGAACATCAAATTTGATTATCGTGCATTTTTACTGGATATTGTGTGCATATCTTTTTTTGTAGTTTATATAACTATAATTCTCACCGAAATATGTGTCCGTATTTGTCCATGGCCCTGACCCACATGCACAGAGACTTAGCTGCAGAGGAAACCCTGCCAATGATGTCAGGATCAAAGTCTGGATTTGCACAGTAGGTGTCTATCTTCTTGAGGACTCTGTCATTAATGCTGTCCTTGTCAAAGTTCATCAACTGTGCAAGAAAATTAGCTTCTCCGAGTTGCCTAAAACAACAAAAATTGAACCAATTAAAACACTTCAAACGTGATGGAAAATGTATGCGATTGTGTAGGGAGCTAGTATACATGATAGTACGTCCAGAGACACCATCAGAACACCATAAATCATGATAAATCATGGACCCAATTGTTACTAAATTATCGCACATAATGGCTATAAACATTCTTTTTATACACGTTACAGTGCACGTTATTAGCACTGCATAGCCAGTTATCTTAACTTCGTTCACTTCTCTGTGAATACAGCAGCCTACAGTTAATATCATTGTAATAGAACAACCACATTTGGTAATTGTGATAAAGTTTTTGGTGGTTACTGTGATCATGGTAACATCTGCTGAAAGCTGTACCTTCATGAGGCCATGATCGGTTTCGAGCAATGCTATTGTTTGGGGAAGGTTTTATTTATCACATAAACGCCTAATTACCGCTTGGCCTCGGCCCAACTAGGATCACCGCCTCTGAGTATCATCACAGCTTCCATAACCTTCTCCACTAGTGCCGGCGGACGACCGTATGACTTGATCTCCGTCATGTCCTTCTTGTTGAGAGATTCGAGGGCACGTATGGCTTCCTGCAGGGCGGGTATGGCTTCATCGAGCTCCTGTTGGGCTCCCGTTGCTATCTGTTTACACCTCAACTCCTCGACTCCAATCTTTTCACTCCTGGCTGAAACCGACTGCAACCCGAAGATATATTCTAATTAAAACGTGACTGATGCGTATGTTATGTTACAAACACATTTTCTTGGCTAACTGAATTTAATTAATTAAATTTAATACTAACAGTTAACAGACAACTGCTATATAAAATTAAGAGGTAGCTAGGTTAGCATCATGATTAAGACCAAGGTAACGTTAAAACTGCTGTCAGGTTAAGGTTGTAAGCTAGGCATTCCTCGGTTGTGAGGGCGTAAAAGGAATAAAATAATAACAAACTATCTGTTATTTTACTCCTGAAGATATCGAGGACTATCATACAGCCTACAACATGCAATCACAAAAACCCGTTTAAATAAATGCATTTGTCATAACATCAATTATCTTTTATACTACCAGGAAATCCAAGAAACCTTTCCCAAGATGCAAGCAGTATTGGTTTACTAGATGCAAGACGCATGTACCTTCTGCTGTTCGTCTGCCTCGCGTTTCTGCTGCACTAGTGTGACCAGATATTCCTCGCACTGCTTCTGGAACTGCGCGACCTTGACCTTAGCCTCCTCAAGCTCTACCGACATGACCTCGACCTTGGAGCGCGTGTCATCAATCTTGTCGAGTCCGTTACGCAGCTTGTTAGCTGCGTTACCCAGCTCCATCCTCTTCTCAGACAACAACCTACATTGCAAGACGTGCGACGTTAGGGTTTACGAGTATAATAATATTTATAACCATCGAACTATTTTTAAATGATCAACAGACCAATTATGATGAATCGATTATAATATTTAGTTCATCAAGCATTTTGCTCTCTACGTTGTCACACTGCATTATTTAATTATGCCTCGCCATACTCGTACATACATTTTTACTTCATCAACCAATTTGCGAAACATTAACAGAGTGACTATGATAACTCCATGTCATTTCTGCTGCCGAAAAATTTCGGATTTCATACCATCTCTGCATTGCACCAAGTTGCACTGCTACCACTGATCATCACCGTACTTACGCTTTATATCCAGATACAAGCTCCAGATAGTTAGTAGGGGTAACGTAGTTGTGTCTCTTCATCTCCACAAGCATCCTCTTGGATTGGTCCACAACAGACCTGTGAATGACCGTAAACACGCTGGCCACACACGTCTTGATCTGCAATACAGACAAGATAGTCAGTTTGGGAATTGATACATAAGCACGAATCACATGCGAAACGAGTGCTCGAGTGCAAGACAGCTACAATAATTGTGTTCTCTAATCACAGAATATATATATGTCTGATACTTCGTCAGTTCAGAAAACAATGAGATGGTATCGCAATCATGAAGGCAAAGCAAACTATAAAGTTAGCCTATATTTACTACTGAACATTCGGTGTTAGTCTCACTTCTTCAACTCAATTCAGAACGAAAATTTTCAAAGGTACAATTTATTTCCAGCTTCAGCACAGTATACCCAATTCAACTTGTGTGTACGCAGAGCCACAGAAAGTAAAGTATCTCAACCAAACAGACGTGAGATGTTATAACTGTAACGTAGTGGTTGCAGGAGCTTCTACGTATATATAGCTGACTCTATACAAGCTAACCTCCTCTGAAGGCAAATCGATACTCTCCAGGTATTTGTCTGCGACTTCCAGCAGGGCATCTGCCGGCCACTCACTGAACCAGTCTATTGTTGTGCAGTTGACAAATGCTGGGTACATCCTCAACCGATTCCTGACGCGAGACGTATGATCCAAAGTACATAATAGGCATATTTAAAACACACGTCTAAGAACAGAATTCAAACGTACATAATAGACAGTCACTCTAATGTGTACTTCTTATATTATAAAATGACAATTTTTATTGACTCTTCTATGTTCATGTTCATATCACTATTTCATGCGTATGCGTGTGCGTGCATGTGTCCGCCAAGCATGAATGTATACACGTGTCCACCGAGCATGAGCGTGTGCATATGTCCACCGAGCATGAGTGTGTGCATATGTCCACCGAGCATGAGCGTGTGCATATGTCCACCGAGCATGAGCGTGTGCGCGTGTGTTGCACATGTGTATATACATCACAGATTCGGCCATGCAGTTGACACTCGATCGACTATTACGACCGTGTCATTATAACTTGCACTCTCACCTGAAGGCATCACCTACAGGGCTCATGCAGAGGACAACGTGCAGGTTGGAGCGCACTCGCTCGACGAGGAAACTGAAGATGCTCTCGGGAGTCTCGGGGATTCCCTCGTTCCTCGCCGCCTCCGACAGCGCGTTCTTCACCTCCTCGAACTCCTCGGGCTTGTAGAGGTTCGGAACCTCCCCGCTGCTGAGCATGTTGTTGATGAACTCTAGGAACATCTCCTCAACGACCTTGGGAAACAACGGCGAACAAGGAACTCTTAGGGAGACTGACTGCACAAACGCACGTAGTTGAGTCAGCGTAGGTAAGTCCATTGCATTGCCTGCTATAAGTATTACTTTATGCACTCCTAACTCAACCAACAAGTCCTTCCTCCTAAATTCCATACACTCTAACTTCCTTGCCACCTACCTGCTCTTACACTTCATAAGTAACACTCGGCACGATTCCCGGTTCTGCTAGCTAGAGTTTTGTTATCATCTCGAAAAGGTAGAAATACAATGCTGGGAAAGGGAATCATTCTTCTTACTCAATGTTTCAATTTGGTAACAATGCTCGAAGGCACACATAGAAAAAGCATCCGCACCTGTGTGTCAGTAAACAGGAAGACTGTATGCTTGTTTTCAACTCCTGCCAACCAATATAGATTTCTCAGGTCTTCCTTGAATTCAATCGTCCTGTAAAATGTAATAAAACACATCTTCGTGTGAAACCATCGTTTGATTAATTACGTTTTCACATGAAACATCATAGGATGCTATGAAAATAATTGTAGTAATTCGCAGTGCAGAATAAAACAAAAAATACATGGCCAGAGGCAGATTAGCAGTGCAATAATTAGTGCCAGCCACAAACAACGCGTAGTTTCTGGGTATACTCATACCTGTAGAGTCGGGTGACTTCGATCTGGAAGCACTTATACCCACTGATGAACGTTGCCAGGCGCGTCAGACTCTGTCTGCCGCTACCACCAATGCCCACCAGCAGCATGTTTCCACGTGGCTGTCTTATCACACGGATTATCCTGGAAACTGGAAGCAGCGTCGTCGATACATAGCAGTTAACATTAAACATGATTGGAAAGATTTGGAAGCAATTTTCCTGATCATCCAACCATAAATTAAGTGAGGAGAGACAATCGTATGATAGCGAGTAGACATCAAAACTTTAAACAATTAACATCAACATTAAACAATCATAGCTAATTCAATACCCATGATCGTCTATTGCACATACTTTTATTATGTCAAGGTTTATTCAAACAGTCAAACCAAATAGAATACATAAACGTTATGCATATAACAAATGATACTGCAAGGGATGGCATTGGTTCAAATGCTTACATTACCCTACGGAAGAAGCTTGTCCTAATTATTATTTTACTAGCTACAATAAATAAGCTTACTATGCTCAATGGCATCCCTGAATAGCACCAGATCCATGGAAACAATTCCTGGGGTCATGTTAAAATCCTCTAGTTGGTTCTCCATGAATACCTTTAACTGCTTGAAGTCTTGGAAATCTTCGTAAATGCCATTGTCGTTACAGTATTCACCTACATGCATATACACGATACATTTCAAACACGGAAATGGGGACAAACTGAATTAAAAGTGCCCATGCTCTTCATAGTGAAGGATGGTGAAAGCTAGGATGGTATAGGTGGTAGGTGGTTTAGGGGTGGTATAGCTCCAGAACAAGTTGGTAAGGAGTGGGCTTAACAAGAATTAACACCCTAAATAAAGTTATTTTCTCCTACAACGGTGCAAGTCTAACCCTAACCATATAGTCCAACTTGAAAATAGAAGTACCATGACATACCAAAGATAGGCGGCTGCTTATTGGGACAGACGTTGTGGAATGTGGTATCAAACATGGTGCCTAGTTTATCGCTGAGAATGGCGACAAATGATTCGGAATCCCTGTCGTCTACCAGGCGGTCATGGAACACACGAAAGCACTCGTGTATCCATAGTCGAGTCATGCTGTGCTTGGTGTCATGGAAGTCCTTATGCGCACGCAGCAGTCCTTGGAATACCTACAGTGGGACAGTGCAGCACACTCTAACTAGCATAGCTAGGTGTAAGGTAAACTAATATTGTTGTGTGAGTGAGGTAATGAGCTTATTTATACCCACACGGTGACATGCTGTTTGACAAGTCATCATGGCATCACAGCTTCACAAAATAGAACACTACAGCACTAATTATATGTCATCAAGCAATGTTTACCACGCTGCCCTCTGACATAAATTGGTAGAATCGAACAGACACCTTTGTGTTTTACCTCACGGCACATATTGAAGGGCATAACAAATTATATTTTAAAATTATACAACTAAACATGAAGAGGGGAGCGTTCTAAAAGCTCTGGAATTTGCCACCTTTCATATATGTCTAGCAGACGTACTTTTTCATTCTTAGGCAGTGGTATAAAAGATGCAAACAAGTATAGTGCTATACAACATACCTTTGATATGTCCCTTAAGTTGAAGAGGTAGTGTATTTTCGTAGGGGTTGGGAGCATGCGTGCAACGATCAAGTTGTACATGTCTATTGTAGCTTGGGTCATGACCTCGGCTATGGGCTTCACATCCTCTTCGAAGTCTTGCAGTTTCTGCAAAATACGATAACTTGCCACTGTCAAGCATAGAAAGTCACAGAGAATAGTAATAAGGACGTATCTGATGAACCGACGTGGAACCATGTAAACTTCGCGATGTTTATACCTGTGTAATCATGCTACCGAATATGCGTTTGATCTGCGACTCGTGCGGGAAGGTCATGTTGATGAGGTTGAACCGACTCTGTAGTCGCTTAGATATGATTGTCCTGCCACCTCCTGGTGGACCCATAGACACCAGCAACAGCATATCCTTAAAAACAGAAAAATATCATCCAAATCAATATACTTCTAAGTAAAACAATAACTGTACAACATAACTGGTTAAAAGAAATGGCTGGGAGAGTTAACGAAATAAAAATGCCAGATTGATTGACCATATAACATTGGCAGCATCGCTGCCACTGAGGCTAACTTAATCAACCTATTTCTGCATACCTTGATGTATTTGACGATCTGCTTCTGCCGGTCATACCAGAAGCCATAGTCGAGCCACTGTCGCATGAGTTCGAGTGGGGGCTGTGAGCCAAAAGTGTCCTTCGCAGGCATGTTGAAGTCGTCCATGAAGGTGATGAGACGCCGGCCCCCAACCGGTACATACACGCCCTTCGTTCTCTTCTCCACTCTGCTCTCGATGATATCCTGCACGTTGTTGGATGTAGTCTGAAATAAACAATCCGCATAGATGAGAAAATTATTAAGACCAATTATTAAGATGTTTCTTTCTAGATGGAAACATTTATTATAATCGAAAGGCTCATATTACTCCTAAAAAAATGTTTGCATGTTCCCGGTGTTACCTGTGCTGACATGTTGACAGTAAGTATGCTGTAGGTTTTGCTGTCTAGATTGCCCAGCACGTTCTGGACAATGCTGGTCTTGCCTGTGCCAACTGGCCCTGTTACCAGCACTGGACAATTAGCCTGGATCAGGTTGGAAACCAAGAAGTCATACCGGACAGTGTCCACAGTTGGTACTATTATCCGATAGAAAGGCATGCTGAAATAAAAAAAATAAAACCCATGAAGAAAGTGGATTTCTCTACAGATGAGAGATCCTGCATTTCACCGATGCATGTAGTTACAATCAATAGAGAGATCAGATGTTTATACAGAGTTGTTATAATGGCTGCTAGATAGTGTGTGAAGATTGTATTGCGTCTGCTGATCAGCGACACATCGTACCTTGGACTGTACTTCCAGCCTGCCTTCAGTTTGTCCTCCCAGAGAGCCCAGGTCTTGTTCTTGACATCGACGTAGTACTCGTAAACGGTGTCCTTCGCTGGAAAGCTGCCTTCGAGCTCACGCAAATAGTTGTCCATTTTTTTCCTGCTCTCCTCATCGACCGAAGCGCACACAGACCAGATCATGCTGAACATGAACCACAGCTCTATCATCTGGACAAAGCTCTCGCTGACTGGATCAACCTGCAAGGTGTGTCGATAGCAGTGTGGAGGTGAACTGCACTATTGTTCTCAGTCACTACAACAGCTTTCTTCTTTTATTGATGTCATGCAATATGGACATTATTACTGGCCAGTATTCCGTCCTATTAAGGGGCGACTTTTAGTTTGAATCTATGCTTGCGTTGTTGCTATTCAATATAGAAACCATTACATCCAAGTATATGGTTAGGTCATGCTAAGGGATGTATTCTAGTTAGAAGCACATTAGCTCGAAATGGGACCGCATAATGCCATGAAAAGTCACACCGCATAACCCAGGGTGTGTTAAGAACAAGTTATGCCTACTCCATTCTTCTCGGTGGCAAGGGCATCGAAGAGCCGACAAAGCGCCACGACTCCATTCAGCTGACTGATGGGCACCGATTCTTTGCAGCTGCTACACCTGAACTCCAGCACTTTAGCCAGGTACTTGTCAAAGAGCCGCCGCAACTCTTCTGCCAGTTTCTGTCGGCAGCGTTAACACACGATTGGGATCATTACGGTAGGGTTAATTACTTCCAGTTAAAACGCATTGCCGGGTGAGATGTTGAACACGGTACATATATTATATAAGTAGATATAGTAGGAATTATATATTAAGTGTGATAATTTGAAGGAATCAGGAGTAGGGCACACCTTATCCATCTTCTTGCCTAGCCAGGAGTCGACATAGGGCTTCCAGCCAAGGTCAGTACTGTCTATATAGACCATGCCGCATCTAGACACTGTTGCTGGTGATGCGACTGACAGATCCTCACACTCAAACAGTAACGACACCTGCAATCCAATTTTAAAAACACACGCATGCATTGTCACAGCATTGGCAGCCATTGCGTGGATACACAGGCAAGCACACATGCATGCACGCTCGCACGTACAAACGCAAGCACTCAGACACATTAAACAAAAACAGTTTCTGTCCGAATTGTTCATCATAGATTCACAGATAAAACGTAGACAAAACCTGCTCAATGCACGAACTTCTTTTTAATATACAATGGACGACCGGCGGGCCGACATGAAAACGTACGTACTTGGTCAGGCATTGCAATGCGCTCGCCATTGATGAGTGTCAGCACTTTGTTGTCGTCCATGACAGAGTTCATGCTCTCGATCCACAGTGTGTCGACCGGTCCGTCGAACAACAGCCACTTCTCATCAGGCTTCTCGTCTGCTCGCGTGATGTCAGAGGTCACAGTGCAATGAAGCACAGGGTGAAGAGTGTGACGAGTACAAGATTTAGCACCAGGGAATCAAAGGTCAGCATTAGATGTGAAGTAGGAACTTCCTTGGAGATATGGTGCAGAGGGGTTATATATAGTAAATATAACATCAATGATGCATTATAATATGGGTTGTAATTCAATGGTGTCTACTACATCACTACTCTCAAATAACATTAATTTTATTATAAATAATTATCATGTATTTTAGTAGGTGAGTCAGAAGGGTTGGGGGTCTGAATGATACTGCAAACGTGTCTATTTGGGATATTGCCACGGAACATGAAAAAACCCAGTGAATAATGGAGCATCAAAACACTCGGTGAATCATGGAGTTTCATGGTATTATGTAGCAGACACTGCTCACCTGCACAGGTCTGCCTCATGACACTGGAGAGAATGCCATCTGTCCACTCGTTGGTGTTCAGGTCAAACTCCCCATACAGCTCACCAAGAGACAAGGCTTTGGGGTTTATTGGAAATTCCTGTAATGGCAAAGATAACATGATCACAAAATGAAGCTAAAATGAAATTCCTGTAAGAACCAATCTCCAATTATGCAATGGAAGTTAATAGAAAAACGAGCAGCTTGATGTTAGCTTGATGTTATGGAATTTTACGTAACAAATGTGTTTTTTGGAACGCATTGCTTGCGTAACGTGGGGTAATACTGTACTACGTCACCTTGACATAGTTGTAACCAGGCTCTTTCTGGCGCTTCAGCCTGCACATGACAGCCTGCAGCATGCGCCACACGACGCTCTTGCCAGAGCCCGTGTAGCCGACAATCATGCATGAGTGCCGCGAGTTCTTTGTCTCGGCTAGCTGGATGATCTTCAGGATCGTTATCGGATGTGGCTGTAGCTTGGCTTCCTTTAGCTCAGCTAGAATAGCTTCTTTCAGCTGTGATGGACACCACCGGACAGAAAGCAAAATATGAGTGCCCTCGTCATAAAGTTTCATAACCATAAACATATGAACGCCTTGTAAATTTCGTTCCTTAATCGTATCAACTAAATATGAAACTAGACGTGGTCTATTGAAAAGATCAAGGTGATCGAACTGGAAGATTTTCAAAGTGTCCAGCAGAGAAATGCTGGCACACACACACACACACAGCATTGTCCACCAACCTTCTCATAGTCTATCACATGCGTCTCGACTCCGGGGAAAAGGTCCGACACTATGCCATTGAAGAGTGGCAGGTCGGAAGCGGTCAGCTTGGCCACATTCATATCCTTCATGGCGAGCAACAGCACTTCCTCGTCGGGCATGTTCGGGAAGTCGCGCTTCTTGCGGCCGGCGTATCTGAGCACAGAGACGAGGCCTCGCAGGCCAAACTCGTAGTGGTCCTGCTTCGACAGCTGCCTCACTGCCAGGCTAAACAACGCCTGCACCTTCTTTGCTAAAATCTGCCACAAACAATCTAAATTCTAAGTTTAATCTTAAAATACAAGTTTCCACAAGAATATGATGTTGCATATGATACTTCTAATGCTAGCTCGTGTATGCTTTACTTATAAGAAAATATGGAAAACCTCTCTCAGATCGCTAGAGAGCCCATGCGAACTCCATTAAAATTCTGCATAGCTGGGAATGCAAATTAAACCTTGGTATTGCTGAATCCTTCACCGAAAAGCATAATTTCGGCAATCATAGCTGAGTCCGGCACGACCATGGAGATTGGCCGAAACATGGACTTCAAGTTGTCGGGGAGTTCGGTGCGACCAGCATATCCTACGCACATTAAATAAAACCATGTCCTCAACCCACGTATACGTTAGCTTGAAACATCACGTTTCTACTGAACCTAGATATTCACTATTATATTTGAATAGCAAGTGCCACACATGGTTTTTGACAATGAAACATGGCGGAGCAGTAGCACAGCTACTGGTCGCCGACACGAAAACATGCGCACGCATAAGAGAGCGTGAGTTGATAATCGTGAGTAAGAAGGCGCTCGTCAGTAATGCTCATAGGGTCTATGTCCCCCAGGGTACTGCCGTAAACGAATACAGAAAGTAAAGCATAACATACTAACTACACTACAGGTTAGGGTTAGGGAGTAGGCGTAGGCGACTCCCTAGACTCGTTAGTGGAGGAGGCGAGGTACGGTCCGGCATATTAGATAGTACCAGGGTGTGTTCCGGCAGTACCCTGGGAGACATAAACCCTCTCAGCGTCAGTAACCTGGGTTCATCGTAATGAAGATGCCGCACGACCACATCAGGTTGATGGATCTGCCCTCGAAGACGAAGCGCGTTGCTGCGGCCGACAGTGCCGACAGGATGGACAGGATCTGCTGAGCGACGACGGAGAGCACCTCTATGTTGATGCGGTTGAACTCGTCGAAGCAACCCCACGCGCCCGTCTTGGTGTGGAGAGGTTACATGTGACACAAAAACACAGCCAAAATTAAATAACACTACTAGTTCAATACAATGCACGAATGCATAGCACATCAGAAGTGTATAGGTTCAAAATACGGTCATGTGTCAGCCGTCAGCTCTCCCCACGTTTAAAGTTTCCCTTGAGAAGCAATTATACAGAAAAGCCTCCTCTAAAGAATGGCCACCTGCCTATGAAGTCCAATTTTACTGTTTCCCTCGAGTGGGTGTTACATGCAGGTAATATTTATATGTGGACAACATAATATGACAATGAAACTATTTGCAGTGTGTACCTGTGCAAGTCCGGAGTACATTCTACCCATAGACTTGTAGTCGAGGCCCTCGGAGCAGTTCACTACGATCACATACATTCCCAGAGCTTTTCCCAAGTCCTTGATGGTCTCCGTTTTACCAGTTCCAGCTGGGCCTTTTGGACTACCACCTCTGTGCAGATGCAGGGCCGTGGTTAAGGTCATGTAACACCTGTAAAAATAATCATAATAGTCTTAATAGAAGTGTCTCAGCACTGATGTAATAATTGCCACACGTGCTGTTTCTAATCTCACACATTTGGTGCATTATTGTAAAGTTTTGCAGTGAACACACGGTTATACCTGTCAGTTAGAGGCGTAATGACCAGTCTACCGGAGTTGCCCAGATATTCGTAGCCATATTGAAACTGCGTGTTTGTCTGTCGTACAATGCAGTCATCTATGTCCTGCGAAAGTGTCAATATCGGTCAGAACTAATTAAAGTTGCTGCGATTAAATAGTACGTTGATCAATTTGATTTCGAAATGGCACAACTATCCGTGAATAAGAAATTTATAGCATCTATAAAGATATCGCAACACTTACCTTATCCCAGTAGAGTCTGAGTTGACTCAGCCACTCAAACGCTGTCACATCATTACAACCAGTCTTGATCATCTTCTCAATGACATCACGGGCATGTACTTCAATTGTCACTAAGGCAACGATTTTTGCACGCTGCTGCTTTGTTAGGTTCCCCCGGATTGCCTCAGAAAATTTATCCAGCATTGCTACCTAGGGACGAAGTAAATTCACTATTACTCCATTTAGTGCCGGATGTGTGTAAACTATAGGAAGCTGTAATAATTTGTAAGAAGTGCAATATTGCATTATATGTGCAATTTATAGTCATAAGACAAGTAATTCAGGACACTTACACGATGATATCTTTGATAAAAACCATGACTCAGCATAAAAGCAAAATCATACGTGCAGCTGAGCTCAGTACCCACCTTGGCTTCACCAGCACGCACTGATAAACCCATCAGGTCCTCTTGAACACAACCTAGTTTCTATCAGCTGGCTACTTGTGCTCATAGGGCCTATGTCCCCCTGGGTACTGCCGGAACGTACCCTGGTCACTATTTGATATGGTTAGGGTTAGGATTAGGGTTAGGGTTAGGGTTAGGATTAGGGTTAGGGTTAGGGTTAGGGAGTAGGCGTAGGCGACTCCCTAGACTCGTTAGTGGAGTAGGCGAGGTACGGTCCGGCATATTAGATAGTACCAGGGTACGTTCCGGTATACGGGACCGTACCCAGGGTACGCTCCAGCAGTACCCCGGGGGACATAGACCCTCTCAGCGCTACTTGTAGTGGCGTACATTTGACTATGGCTATATACTGTTATACTGTATACACTGGATACACTTACACTACCACTATCCTTAACACGTGTGATCAAATACTTACCTGTTTTTTCTTAATGCTCTTTAATGGCTTCTTATCACCCCTTTCCTTGGTTAACGCTAATGCTTTGGTGCAGTCCGTTGTCCACTGCACCTGACTTGCTGTGATGCACAGCTAAAAGTCAAAGGTACATCTTACGATAAATATTGAATACTTTGAACATTGTACACGATGATAGCTGGAATTTGCAGCATAAATGTGAAGGTCAACAGTGAAGAGACAATGCTACCTGTCCTGGCCAATCTTTGACCCACTTGTCTCTCTTGCTGATGTTTTTCTTCAGAGCCAGTCTCGTCTGCTTCAGCTGTTCCTTAAGTGTCCAGCGCATAGTTCTTTCCACATCACACAGCCACACCTCAACAGCACCCTCTAGCAAGACGGGCTGTACAAAGTCTACGAATTCGCCGTCTGCGGAATACATGCCGGACGCTTCAAACTTCTGAGTGATGCTACTCTGCAATGTACAATCATGAAAATTACTTCTTTTGCGTCTATAGTGCACTCAACAAATAGAAGAAATTATGCGAGGTCATTCACCGAGGTCATTACTGCATTGAGGATGGAATACGTTGAAAGCTAGAAGCTGAATCTCCATAGCACCAGGAAATAGAAATCATGCGAGGTCATACACCAAGGTCAATGAGGATGAAAGACGTTGAAGCTGAATCTACACAGCACCAAAAACAACAGATACCTTTTTATTTTTCATTTTTTATTTTATTTTATAATAAATTAAATAAAAAAATAATATATTAAATAAAAAACAACAACAACAGATACCTTGCCCATCTTGAGAGACTTGATGTTGTCAAAGCACTTCTTCAGGTGAGTCTGCACCGCCGACGGATTCTTCGACTGGCCGAGGATCTCCAGCAGGTCGTCGTTCGACAGGAAGTAGAAGCGCGGGAAGATCTGCCGCTTCGTCTCGAGGTACATGTCGAGCGACTTCTGTATGTCCTCCAGCTTGGCGTTCATGTTGGTCAGCTGCTCGAGCATGCGGTCATGATGCGTGCCGCGCAGCGCGTTCGTGTCCCTGCTGATGCGCGTCATGATCGTCTTCCAGCTGCTGTTGACCTCGTCGAACTCGGCCGATTCGCGCGGCAGCTGCTTGCGGATGTCCTCGCCAAGGAAGATGTTCTGCAGGAGAGGAAGTGGCAGGGCTTCGAGCATTCACCACACGTGCGGTAGCTAGCACACGCATATGCTGTCGTACACACATGCATGCACACGCACGCACGCGCACGCACGCATGCACATACACACACATGAGTACATGCACACACACGCGCGCATGCACGCAAATATATAGCAGCTATATATTACAGGTTGCAAGAGACAATAGAATATTAATAGAATAAGTTTAGATTGCCTGCTTTTTTCAAAATAGGTATAATTTAGGATGGAACACTGGATAGGATGACCGTTGGACAGAAGTGTTAACCAAAGCAATACTGCATAACTGTGATAACAAAAGAATTGATCACTGACCTCCAGGTACATCCATTGTCTCTGAACAGTGAGCAGAATCTCAATAACCTCTAGGATGTGGGATAGTGTTCTTTCCCAGTAGTCAACATCAGATTCAAATGCTACAACATAGCGCGAAGCCTTCATCGTGGAGAGGGTCACCTGGTTATCATCTAGGGCCTGGAATACGTCGTCTGTTGCCCTATGAAAACCGAGAAACCCCTTACTTGTACATACAAGCAAATGAAATAATAGACTTCAAGATGGTTATTGCTGAGAATTCCATTTGGGATTTTATTGCACCCACATATTGATAGGAAGAAACTCTTACTTGAGCCTAAAATGCCCCCTTTCTTTGTACGGAGTGATGTCCAAGGCCATTGTTTCCCAGGTATATCTGATGCTGTCAAGGGCCTCCTCGATGGACAATTCCTTGCTGGCAGCTGCAGACACATCCCCAATCTTATCCACATACTGGTCAAAGCCCAGCATGATGATCTGTTCGAGTGTGAATTCTTCCGAGCGATGATCAAAGCTCTTGCAGACAGTATCCTTGACGTCATCCCAGTGGCGCTGTCTCATCGCCGGATTTTTAAGGGATTGGATAAGTGGCATCGTGCGCTTAAACTGCTCCAGCCTCGCCTTGTTAAATTCTACAACTTCCCAGCTCTTCTCCTGTACGAAGAAAACATTAGCGGTTAGAGATCATACATGTCTCAAAAGCAATCCCGATGCCATCGTGTGGCAGGTACACATGACCTCTTCACGTACACAAATGATACGGTGACAACATTAACATACCTTCAACTCCCTGCTTAACTTCACGAGCCTCTTGAGGATGCCCTGTGCTTGCACCTCCATGTCGTCTGTCACGAGCTCAACAAACCTCCGCTGCTTCCATAGATGCCAGAGTCCCTCCCACTCCTTGCTAAGTTCCCAGATCATCTCGAGGTACTCAAGATCCTATTGCATAGTTGAACGTGTTATTTCAATGCTTCTAGGAAAGCAATATAAACCCTACAAGGACACCTAAGCAGTCACAGACTGTAATGCCTTAACATATTCTGTACATTTAAATAATATAAAGATGTACTGATATAAAGATATGATATATGATATATATATATCATATATATATACTGATATATGATGTAAAGATATAATGATTCACTGTCACAGCAAGGGGCCACTTATCCCAATTACTCATTTGCCAATAATCATTTAATTTAATTCGAGTTACTATTTAGGAAAACGTTTTCCAGCTCTATACCTTGTCGAGGTTTTGTATATCTTTGCTGGGGGGCTGATCTATTTTGAAGAGGCCAAGCCCCCTGCGGATGGATGCCTCCTGTTGCTTGAGAGCAAGCAATTGCTGTCGGAAAGCGCTGATGTCGTCAAGGGCATCAACACTGGCAACACCACTAACAAACGGACCTGCAGTTGCCATTGAAAACAATGTTACCATTTTCTGCTCGCATATGGAGTTTATTATCAGGACATATGCGATATATCTTATTGGGAGTATAATACATCACGGAAAGTCAAATCTAGTGAGTGTCTGGGAGGAGATACGCGGTAGTGTGAACGGTTGTCCATGGTTTAAAATTGCTACTTAAAGAAACTGTGCAGATACCTTTGCCAATGAATTCTTCTACCAAGCTCCCCACTTGCTTTTTGAAATCCTCTGACGAGTGTATCAGGCCAGTCTTGAACTTGTCCTTGTGTTTCTTCAGCATCTCGTCTGCATCAAGTAGGGTGTGCTGGAAGACTGACCACGCTTCTGGCAGACTGCCAAGTTGACTCTCCACCTGAATATTTCACAATGCAAAAGATTACTGTGACGGCATCTCTAGCAATAGATCAGAAAAGATGGCTCATGATACAATTCTATGAAAAATGCATGCAGGGACTTGCCTTCTCAGGTATTGTGACCTCATACTTTCTCAGTATTTCAAACTGTTCATTGAGCGGATGGAATTTGGCTTCTATTCCTGCCATCTCCTCCTGCAACTTCTCCAACAAACCTATACCATCTCCCAGCTCATCGAGGCTTGTAGGTGGGACACTGACCCTGTGATAAAAACCTCAATGATTTCAGATGCAGTAACTACAGCTCATAGGGTCTATGTCCCCCAGGGTACTGCCGGAACGTACCCTGGGTACGGTCCGGTATACCGGAAAGTACCCTGGTAACTATCTGATATGGTCTCTAGACTCGTTAGTGGAGTAGGCGAGGTACGGTCCGGCATATTAGATGGTACCAGGGTACGTTCCGGTATACCGGACCGTACCCAGGGTACGTTCCGGCACTACCCTGGGGGACATAGACCCTCTCAGCGTAACTACAATTATACTATGGAATACGTGGGTATTTGGCCACCACACATTGTGATTTAATAAATCAATATTGAAATTATGATATAATTATAATGTAGTAGCTGCAGTTCAGCACGTCTGGGTAATACAAATGTAAGTAGGTAGTAACACTATTCTAACCTCTCCGAGTTCTTTTCCAGATACTTGTGAATCTCGTTCAGTTTATTGGCGGCGATTTCGGCGAGCAGGGCAGTGAACTTGTTTTGCCATTCAGAGCAGTGACCGAGCACGGAGTATTTCAGCAGAGAGCAGTCTAGCAGCACAAACTACAAGCATGAATGTAGTATAATATAAACGTTGCCGAAACCAGCGCCCACTTCAGAACTGCACCAGATACTCAGTAACCACCTCATAAATCTGAGAAAACGAATCTAATGATAAAAAATCAAGATACGCATTCACTATTACTTCTATGTTTTCTATGGCTATACCTGTATATTGAGAATAGTCTCTTGAGATTGCACATTGTTGGCCACCTCAGTGTAGCGGGAGATGTCTGCATCAAAGGAAGCCACGCTCGGCTTCAATCTCTCGTACCGCCTGATGAAAGCATCCTTATTGATCTCCCAAATTTCCTTGAACTCATCCCAAGTTTTCAAATACTCCTACAGCACACACGTCAGGTGTTAATGTTTGAGTACCCGAGCGTTGGTAACGATGACATTGATAAACGATGTACAGTATGTACATAAACACACACACAAACGCGCGCGCGCATGCCGGCACACACACGTGAACATAAGTGTTACATAGTAAACTAGAAGATTGGAATGAGTATGTACCTGAAGATTTTGCGCATTGAGAGTCATTCCATTGTTTATAGAGGCTTGTATCTTCTTGCTCTCTTCATCCTGCTCTATCATTCTGCAAAAAAGGTCAGCGATAATGATAGGAAGTCCACACCAACACCTTCCCCATTCTACTCATTAATATCGTAGATAGAACAGCCTCTAAAAATTTATTATCTTTTAATTATAAGAAACCGTTGGTATAATTGATATTGAGGCAGCAGATTCAGACTTAGCCATTGACTAATGTCATATTATTGTAGATCGATCATCATAGTACATGAAAGGCTCAAATCATAATAAAGGCACCAAATTTGACACGTGCTGAGGTGCTCAATAAAATAAAAAGTGAACCCTAATTAAATCATATTTTAAAAGGGGGTGAGATGTAGGCAGCTGCTACTAAAAACTTGGTCAGCCTACTTGTAGATTGGCTCCTTGTTGGTAGGTCGCCTGCTAAGGAGGTCAGGAAGTCGACTGATCCCTGCAACAGTGCTCGCCAGCTCTTGCATAGTCCCACTCACAAGTGATGCCAACTTCAACAACTTAGGATTAAAGTTGACTCTATTTCTCTCCAATACAACCTGCAATGAGAAGAGTGCATATATACAGATAGATTAGTTTGAATTAACCCTGATTCTGTTTAATATGGTTAAAAGAATGTCACAGTGAAGAAGTTTTGGTATAGACATAACTGTTATACAAAATAGAATGACATCTATATCGAATCGAATGTTGATAACTGTTGATAAAATAGAAGAATAAATGACGACATGCCTACCTTGACTTTAAACAGGGGGTTAGGGCTAGATTTGCCATCCCCATTGATTGCTCTAGATAGCTCTTGCAGGCTCCACTTGATATTAAGCCTGAATGCTTCCTCTACCATGCAATCAACCTTGTCTAGATACCTGAGCCAGTAGGTTTGAACCTAGGGTAGAAACGTTATACATGAATAAAGATGTACCATAACTGACTCGATCTACAATCAGGTTCATAAAGATGAATACACCAAATATTGTTGATATTATTTCATCATCTAGGAAGCTTACTTGCGTACGACTACTCCATGCAACCATGTAGCACAAGGCCATGACTACTGCACCACCGAACATACCTCTGGTCCATCGTTGCGGAAGATGTCATACGTGTTCTTGAGTGTGGCGACAATGTCATCATGCGTCTGCTTCAGTTGTCGCTGTACCGTCTTGCGGTGCGCTGTCTGTTCATCCTCAAACTCATTGTTCTCATACACTTTCTTGTTGTCAATGTTAAACAGCAGCACCTCACTAATCTTCTTGCAGTTTTGGAAGATGGCTATGTTCGTGTTCTTGTAGTCGTCAACCATTGCCTAGAAAAAAGCCCGCATTTTATCATTACTAAACAAATTACACAGTCAGTTACGTTTTAATTAGAATTAAGTTTTATAATGAGACTTATTGTAGTTATGCCTGAGAAGACGATACTACATTAAAGGAAGAATGTGGCTATCTAATTTACCCTGTTGGTAAAGGTGAGAATAACTGACATCTTGCATCATTCAAGTATATAACCTTACTGGCAAATTCCTATTATTTCGTCTTCACTGGCGGTTACTAATACAAGTGCCGCAGAGCGACAGCGCTCATCTAACGTCTACTGCGGTGACTCTGTGGTGGAGTGGTGGGATTCTAGTAAACCCTGTTAGTCCCAAATGTGTTCACATACACGCCGAAACAGTGGAATGCACAGGGATGGTATCAGGAACCTTCTCAAAAGAATGTTCGTTGGGATCGTTATGAAAGTTGCCACGAGATGGCGCGTACGTTTAAGTGTCTTCAGATTAAAGATGGAAGCTCCCATCATACGTAGTAGCAACAACTATCTGCAAGACAGAATAGGTAAGCACTCATCCATTTACCTACGCAAGCCTACAGGCTGCGCAATAGAGAGCTGCCACCTGTAACCAATTAAGGCAAAAACTCCACAGTACCACCAACACATGCACTGGCAGTAGCCACTGGCAGTGGCATACGTTACATGTAACATACTGACAGTACAGAATGCCATATAAATTATACGATTTAAGGAGCATAAACCTTCTTTAACCAAATTTAGCTTTTGAAATTTCACTGTGACATTGTAGCCTCATACATCCAGGCATGTATAGATTCTACTAGCAAACCCGGCAGTCAAATTCTTTCTAACAGACAGTCAACAAATCCATGTTTAACCCTCCTCTTGAGGGTCAAAAGGTTATCTGACACTTACTCTTCGCATGTCAGCAGAAAGTAGATTTCATGGTCCTTTCAATAATGCCATAAAAATGCTAGGTCACCGCTGAAACAAAAAAGTTTTTCAATCGCTCCGTCAGACCATGTCCTCAGAAAATGTCTAAAATCTGCCCTGTGCCCATTGACCTTTGACCTGTGACCTCCAATTTCAGCACAGTGATGGCTTTTCCTACCATGATGCTATACACCGACTATCACGAGCCTAGGTCGAGCCGTTTAGATTTGTGCCGCAATTCTGCATTTCCTCCCTATACCTTAAGTTAAGGAGTGAATGTTCCCCCTTCTTTTACACCTCTTGACCTTTGACCTTTGACCCCCAGCTTCGACAGCCCAACTCGTTTTGACGATCCCCCCCCAATGTGCCGAATATCGTGACCGTACGTCGAGCGGTTAAGATTTGTGCCCAACTGTTGACGCCCGGACGGACGCACGGACGCACGGACGATCATGCGATTCTACAAGCTGCATCTGACTATGTCAGATGAGCTAAAAATGCTCAATTGGAAATCATCGGCATTTATAAGCAGTTGTTGACAATTTGAATCGCAAACAATGAAGCCAAGATAATAGAGAATCTTGCACCGCACATGTTTGCGTGCATGCTGGGCTGTACATGTGCTCAGCTCGTCACTGGCGGTTGAACTTATTGGACAAACATCTCTTTGCTAAACTCTTAATATTATCGTCACATTACAGAGCATGAAAACCCAAACAAATTTTTAGTGTGGCTATTGATAAATAGCATTCAGAAGTCTGGTTTGTAGGGGAAGGGGCAGTGAAATTGGAAAACTAATATTAAATTGGCAGTAAGGTAGTATACAATTCTTAATGGCACAAAGTGAGACTTTCTAGCATTCACCAACAGTGCAGAATAAAGTCTTCTCTCATAGAATACTGAATATGCATTTGAGACAATGAAAAAAAGGTAAAATACAATTAAACTTGGCAGTTCTATAAATATCTAGTGTAATACTGCAGTGCCTGATCTATCTGTCATTCTACTATGTGGATTCAATGTGTCTACAGAGTCATGCTAACATGTGTAATTACCTGCACTCTCAGTGCATGTTGGCGGCAGTCTGCTATGTAGAAGTCTGCAACACCCTTGGAAGCCCATGTCAGTTTGGTTAGCCCAGGATGTACTTTCTTGTCTAAGAAGCGTATTCTCTCTCGGAATAAACCCCTCTCCTCTGGAGACAGTGCCGAGATAATCCTATTGTAGTCCCGTACCACGAGCAACACCTGAATCCAACAGATATTGGCGTTTCATAATTAATTCTTAAAAAAGATTGCGTATTGCAGCCTTTCATCATCACCTGTAATGAGTAACACTTAAATACATATATTTCCTTATTTAACAGAAACGTAAACTTTGTTAATTTTAGTCATTGCCTCCAGTTGCTGATACTAACACGGTGAAGAAGAAGCTTGGTTGCCTATTCTGTAGGGTTTTCTGTCTACTTGCATGTCTACTCGACTATGTATACCTGTTCACATAGATTCCTAAGGTCTTCCTTCTTGCTGTAAACATCTGCTGCATAGTGTGGAATTTCAAACATGAGTCTCTCCCAGTAGTAGATCTCTTGGAATAGCTTGAGCAAAGACCTGCAATATGTAATATCAAATACAATAACAGCTCATCACAATTTTGGCAAAATTCCTCACCCGCTAATTATTCGCTTCTCTAAATGGGTAAATATGGCATAAGGGTAATTGTCCAGAAGGTGATTGTTAGGGGTGTATATGGCATATGGGGGTATTGTCCAAGGGGTGATTGTCAGGGGTGTATATGGCATGGGGGTATTGTCCAAGGGGTGATTGTCAGGGGTGTATATGGCATGGGGGTATTGTCCAAGGGGTGATTGTCAGGGGTGTATATGGCATGGGAGTATTGTCCAAGGGTGATTGTCAAGTGTGTATATGGCATGGGGGTATTGTCAGGGGGAAGAATTGTCCAGGAGGGGGGGTTGTAATAGAACTATATTGGCACCTGTCAAAGTTGATATCGAGCATGCCTGGCTTCTCACTGCTGCGGCACATCAGGGGAGCATCGAGCAGGGTGCCGGGCTCCCTGTCGACAGTACTCGCCCAGTCGTCAAACACCTTACGCGTGTATTCATCCAGTGCTGCCGCCAGCTGCCGGTACTGGATGCGAGCCTCGTCCCCACTACCTGAGGGGATAATAAAAATATTGTTTGTTTGCCCTCACCCGACCGACCCGCCAAAAAAGGGCGGACTCAAAAAATTGTATTGATCTTTTCCATTCTTGTTTTTTTTTACAAATTGTATCACGGTACGTTATATAAATCTGTAGGCAATACATTAGCAAAACAAACATTCAACATAAAAGGTATCTCCACACAAGCACACCTGAGCATGTAGACACCATGCTGAATTTGTAAGACCCGCCCTAAAAAAAAAAGCCTACCTACCTATCCAAACTTTTCAGCCTGGGTCGGGTGAGGGCAAACAAAGATTTTTTTAATTGTGGCCTGAGGGGAGGTGTCAATTACCCCATTCACATTACATCCTTTTATCCCAGCTATAGTATAATATATAGTATACCCCATATATAATATAAAGTTATCGTCGTTGCTGTACACTCTGTTACCTGTATGTGGCAGGAACGTAGCGCTGTCCAGCACTGCCATGTCATAATCAATACGACGTTTGAGTGCCTTCGCCCAGTGTGCACAGCCAGCATAGTTAGGGTGCATGGGCGAGAGTGGTGGTGATTTGGTGGCAAGCTCTTTCTTGACGGAGTTTAGCTCGTCAGAAAACAGTGTCCACATCTGCACCGTCTTTTTGTCGATTGTTCGCTTGATAGTCTGGAAATGATCTATTACGTTAGCCATTATTCGCGCCTCACAGTCATTGTAGCATTATATCACAGTCAAGCTGTTCCGCAGTATAGCTCGTATTGAGCAACAATCATTGAATAACTGTTTTTGATCAACGCACATTTAATTCAGCAGAATCAATTTATTATGTGAATCTATTGATGTTAAAAGTAGAGTTAACAAAGTTTCAATGGAGTTGTAAGTGATTAACCTCTCTGGCCGTCAGATGCTGAAACAGATCCAGCAGCTCTACTCCCTCCTGGACAGTGCTCACTGTGTCAAATGCAGTGCTGATCAGATTCTGCATCATCACCTCCAGGTCCTTAATTCCACTTCGAAACCTTAAGATGACATTGATTCCCATACACAAAAATGTACAAATACATTATCATGAGTGAAGAATAATAGATTATTACTATAATAGATTATCTAGATAAATAATCCATTATTATTCACTCTTGATATTATATCACCACCTTCCCCTATAAACACGTACCTCAATGTAAACATGGCATGTGTGCAGTATAATCATTAGTTGAGTGCAAATGTGTGCACTAAAACTAAAGAAAATCTCACAATATAGAAAACCATGCATGCTCACCTATTGTAATCATCATGCCATGATGTTGCCTTTACATCCAAGATGGTCTTCCTTACTTTCTTGAGGGCGTCAAGACGTTTGCTGAAGGTTTTCTCTGTCTCTAGTAGTGTTTGTGCAACCTCCGGACCACGCTGCCCAGAGAAGGATGGAACAGGAATCTGCGTGCCATTGTCCATCCGCAAGAAATGCCTGGAGCATTCACACATCTGGAAAAAAATGTCAGTCAGTATGTGCTTTATTTACCATCTAACATGCATATTGTTTCATATCAAGATTAATAAAATTTCTTACTTGCCTATGAGCAACTGAGCAACTCATCTTTATAGTTACCCTAATGAATTCAATGGTTCATACCTCCAGTAGATCGCGGCACCTTTGTATGAAGGCATCAACCTGTGTGAAGATGCTTGTCTGATCGAGGACCCAGCCCGCAGATGACAGCCTGTGATGAGTTCTTGCCATCTAAAATCACACGTACAGGCTTTACACTTCAGCTACACACACAGGCTAGAAATCCTAACTCATGACAGTCACATTAGAATTTACCTACTGCAGGAAACACCATTTGACATGCGATGATATGTGGCACACCTTGTTGATTATGTATCAAGTGGCATATAGGAGCCATGGTATAGTTAGTGTTTAATGACAACTCTACCCTCGTGTACGTGCTCTTCCAGACTAAGCAACAGTCTATGCTGTCCGTCAGACTCTGTATGCTTGAGCTGATGAATCCATCAAATATCTTGTCCAGAGAGATCTCCTTGCAGCATCGCCGGATGATCTCATTGCTCACCTTGAAATTGCCAACAGTTCCTCAATATAATAATGAACTATTAAGATGCAAATACGTGCGTGAATCCCACCCCTCACATAGCAAGAAAGCTATTACAGGTGCAGACAGGAACACCACTAAGCCAATCATGCGAGCAGAGCAATGTACAAAATTATTTCATTCGTGGGCTGGGATAGCATATGTATTATATTGGGCATATCATTCCAAGCTGGCCAAAAACAAAACGTTTGCCTCCCAACAACTGTCACTGAGATACAACATGTTTGATATTCGAGACAATTGGTTTGTCTCAATGTCACAGAGTTGGCTGTGTGCGTTGCTTGCAGACCAAGACAAAAAAAGATTTTGCATTAATTATTGATCAATCAGTTGGCACCAAATGATCACGTGATTTTCAAAATCTACAAGAAGACAAATGCCCACAGTGTGCGTTGAACAAAGACTGAAGCAAAGAAACATATTTTTGTTATACTACAATAAATCTCTGCTGTTCATTCGGCTACAGCAACCTATAAGATATATGCACATTGCCTGGAACATTTCACACATAACTAGCAGGATGGTTTGGAAACACAATGTTAAGTTCAATTAGCTAGTGTACTCATAAGATCAATTACAATCTGATTGCTGAGTACAAAATTAGGTGCTTTAAATACATGCCTAAGGAAAAAAAACATAAGGAAATATCTTTCACTTTAAGTACCTTTCTGAACAGGCCAGTCAGTCTCTCTCTGTCATTATAATGCTGGGAATTCACCCAAATCATCCGTATCATATTGAGCAGGTTTGTGAGCATTCCGGGGATGTCACGTGGAGAGGAATGGGCCAAAATCTCACAAGGTTCTTTCAAGATTGATAAAAAGTGCAGGTTCTCCTGAGCCTGAGCTGAGCCATTCTAATAGATGAAAAGGTATAGCATACTGAGCATTTGTCAGTTTTTAGGTCTCATCAGATAAATATTTCACAACCTCAACTAAGATCATTGTCATGTGAATATGACTGAATGAATACATAAATAATTGCGAGAAACAATGCAACTGAAGAAGTGATTCAATTTAGGCAATAATTACTACAAAACACATCCCTAGTGCATATTTATGAGAGTTAATATCATGAGCAGCTGATAGTTGAAATACCTGGATCAATCGTGAAAGCTTCAAGAATGGCCCTACATAAGAAGATCTGGACAACTCTAGGATAGTTCTGATCTTTTTCACTCCTGGTTGATCCAACTGATGGCTCAAACCTGCATATAACGTTTAATATGTGGATTTTCTCATGAATGATAATATACATTCCCACCGCCTATTGGTTTCTTATTGGTCATATGATTGAGACTTAAGAGTGACACAGGTGTGTCATTTTAAAATGTATACACAGTGTTGACTTAATGTTGCCAGAATGAACGCTAGCTGCACTTACCCGAAAGATCTTCACACCTACTTCTCCAGAATTCAATTTCTTCCAAAGGTCCTGCATTTTCACCGGTTTCAATAGACTCCTGAGAACTCAGAACCTCTTTTATTTGCCGGGTCCAGTGGATCATTGCAGCTTTAGTACAATAAATGATTGTCTTATTAATAACTTATACAAATGTTTGTCTTATTAATAACTTTTACAAATGTTTGTTCCTTGCACAGATTGTCAAATTACATAGAAAAAAGGAGTATTAATACTAGTCAAATTACTTTCCAGCCTCTGTACGAACTCCTTTTTCCTGGCTGCAACCTCTACAGTGGTGTCCAATCCTTCAACTGGCACATATAGTACTGTGTGGCCTTCCATTTTGTACCTAAACCGGCATTTAATTACTTACAATGCATTAACTACATTAGTGCTACACAGCTAATATCTCTGTTTTAATGACTGAAATTAACAGTGTTTTATGTGACTTATCAATATCACATATTGGCCATTAGTGAACAATTCCAATAATTTTAGTTTTGATGATTCCAGTGAAATAGTTCGCATCAATTTGACAGTTATATCATGTTGTAATTATTTAACTTACCTGGTGTCTGTGAGGTTTGCCATGAACTTATACAATGCTCCAGAAAAGTCGCTTTTGATGCTGTCTGGCCATGAGGAGTTCTTAAAAAAGGTTGGTGCATAGACTCCCTGCATCAGACCTAGCAAGCTTTCTACATAATTTCCTTTCACTGTACCATACTGTATATTCTTCCTAAAATTATCTTTGGTGATCCAAGTCCGAGTATCAGCTATGAAAGTAAAGATGTAATCTAAGAATACAATACAAATTTTTCAAGCCTCACTTGAACTGATCTAACTAGCCAGAAAAAAACAATTACATTTAATTGTTATATAATATAATAAATGATGTTGATAATGAAATTGTTTATGCAAGAATACATAATTACAGTAATACCTTTAATGAAATAGCATAGCTGGTGCACTGGGTAACCTGGCATAGCAAGGTCCACATGCAAGCCTGTCACTGCATCCATAAAGACAACTAGCAAGGTCAGAGAACGATCGAACAGAAAAGTTTGGATCACATGTTCGTGTTGTGTTGTCCACATATTCTGTCGAAGCCCCGACAAGACCACTCGCCTCTTGACTACACTCACCTAAATACAGAAATTTGTTTAACTTATGCATGAATAATGGGTACAACTAACACTTCTAGCATGGCTTGAGTGTATCACTTCAGCAATAACTTCTACAGCTATACAGTAAAACTCGCGTAGATTAGTTATATAGTACTATTTAAATGTTAGTTAACTACAATTTACAAATTCTTATTTGGAATGATAATTTATAGATAAATTTGTTAACTAGGTTTTATTTATGTTTAAATTTTCCCATATATTTTATTAATATAAAGGAATTTGCTCAGAGTAAATTATTTAACTCTGGTTCTATATGTTCATAAAGAAAAAATGGTTGGTGCAAGTGTACAGCAAATTCTGTGGTAATCCTGCATGGTTATAGGGTACATGATAATCCCATTTAATCATGAAAGCGTTTGAAAACGTACCATGTCACTATATGACTCAAAGTTGCTCTCTATGCCAGAATTGTCATTTTCACCATTTAATTCAATTTCACTTTGCTGATCGCCACTCCCAGTATTGGTAGCTGCAAGAAATGGTGAATTAAAAAAAACGGTGACCCTGTTATTGTATAATGGGGGTCCTGGTTTAGGACCCCCCTATACATATATATTTCATAGGGTAAGGGAACATGTTAGCAGTGGGAATAATTTAGGATTTAGGTAGGCCCTACGTAACTAATAATACTTTAAGTTTAACCTAAAGACTATAGCCTATAAAAAGTGAATTTTATTTTTAGTGTAAAAGCAAGGATCGATCATCGAACCATTATTTTCATTAGCCTGATTAGGGCAGGTTGCCCTAAGTCAAAATATATAAACACTTCAGTATTGCAGTATATGCTTCTATCATCAATTAGCTACTAAACTAGAGCAGAGAAGAGAATTAAGAGCCTCAGGAGGGAAGATAACCTGATAACCTCACAATGATTAGTCTTTAAACTAAAGTCCAATGACCAAGGCAAGGTCCAACTTCAAGGAACGTACCCAACGTGCTTGATGCAGACATCATCATGCTAAATTAAATCCCAGACGCAGTCTGTGAATATTATTATTATCGGCTAGAATACAACATTAGGAATTACAGTTCACTCGACCTCAACTCATACATACAGAAAATACATTCGACAGCGCAAACACAACACAGATTCAATGCCAAATAATGTAACAACATAGCAGCACGCAGATGTAACTTTGGATGTAACCACTGACGCTATGACGTCACTAAAAGAACGGAATAGAGGCGCCGTCTAGCGAGAGTAAGAAACATTACGCATTTTTAGTTTACAGGAGCACTGGTGAGTCAAGATTAGCAGTTGTAGCACGACATGTATTTACTAATATGCGTAACACAGCGCTGAGATGAATAGTAATGTAATAGTGAAAAGTAAACATTGCGAAAACTGTACCCAAGCTTTAATAGTCAATAAACATACATATGCCTTATTCCTCCTCCGATCTCATTTCTCTTTTTCCACATTCCCCCTCGTGTGCATCCGCAACCTCCTCCCTCCTTATCCCTCAGGGCCTCACTTTTTGAGTGAGTACGTTCCTGTGCACTGGCGTAGCTAAGGGGGGGCACAAGGGGGCCATGCCCCCCCCCCCTGTTGATTGGCAAACAAAACAAAACAAAAATTTTTCCTTGCCTCTCACGCGGTCATCGCGTCTTCACAGGACTGGCCACAATTCCTGTTTACTTCTGCATCTGCTAACGAACATCTCTAAAATGAGGCATTGTCAAGTCTAAACTTCGTTCTACAATGACCCAGCCACGATTCTCTGCTCTCATTCTCCTTTTCGTTGAACAGGAGTTAGTGAATGACATTAATGTCAACGAAATCCTCAAAATGTTCTGTGCCAAAATCGACGAGAAGACTTGACTTTGGATTTTGGAGATTTCTGCAGCCAGACAAAAACATGACTAAAAGAAAGGAGATAATTCTTCTTTGCTCAGATTTGTGTTGTTGCAAGTTGGCTCTTGATTGAATTTTATGGTTCTGAACTCTTATTGACAGAGAAAAGAAATGGAAATGCTTTGTGAATAACTTTGATATATTCGAACTTATAGACGGCCATATTTTGGCGATCCACTCGGTTTTTATTTCAAATCCGATTTGCAACACTATTTTTAAGTAAACTGTTCTCTATCAGGGGAGGCAAAAACAATTCCTTTTCATGGTAAATTTCCTTTTTTATTTTAATAGAGCGGCTATTTTGGAGCTACCTTGTTTTTTATTTGAAATCAAATTTCAATATGGTTTTTAGTTCTTCATCAGAGGAAGCAAAAACATTTTTTATAACGAACAAAATGTTAAATGTGATTCTTTAACGCTATTGTATTCTAAACGATGTAAATCTTTTGTTGTATTTAAATAAATTGCATGTTATTCAGTGCAGTTCCACAAATTGTTGTATGTTGTTGGTTGTTATTCGTTTATCCTCCTACTTCACGAGGTCATCGCGTCAGCAATGTAAACCCTCTTTGCTATCGTTAGCTACCGGCTGTTTGCTCATAGTAATGCGTTGATTGTAGTTTTTTAAAAATTTGTAACAACGGCAGTGTCGTGGGCTAAATTACTGGGTATGAGCTCAGACAGGAATCTGGAGAGGGGCATGTTTGATGGTGCGCATCCATCTCTGGTGTAAAGATTCGCTGTTTTCCCCGGTAAGGGTCGGACATGTCAATTGACGCGAGGTTGGGTTGTGTTGGTGCCTTCACATACCCAGTTCGATCAGTTTTGGTCAGTCATTCTTCTCCGCTGCTAAACCTGAGTCGTGCAGCCAATGTAATAACTTGCTGCTCCACGGTTTCATTTGCGCGAGGCACACGGTCCATAGGGACTTCACTTGCCCGCGATCTTAAGACCATGCTGGGCTCTTCAGTCTTAGTGTGTCCAGTTTTAATCCGTGTTGAAAGCTTAGGTTTCTGTTCTTGCGATTGTGTGACGCTGCCGCAACGCTGCTATATGCTTTACCATTAGGCTCCTAGCATGATGAAAGCTACCTGCCTGAAACAGACTGTCCACTGCCAACTCTGACCATCGTTCTACCAAGGCTTTCTTTGCATTTCTCTTTGGCTTCGGAGAAAGAAAGCGCGAGACAGTGGTCTGCAAAGATTTATCCATTTCTGCGGCCTCGAAGGCTGCCCGTTTCGCTTCTTTGTCTGCCTAGTTCATTTTGCAGCCAGGCCTCATGTCCTTCTACCCAGCAAATGTCAATCTTTGATGTTGTTTGTGAATAGCTGCTTTACTCTTTCTTGGATGTTTTGGGTAAAGTGTTTGTGAAATGTTGTTTTGTTGGGGCCGTGAACAGTGAGAATGGCCTTCTTTGGCAGTCGAGGCAAAATGATTCTGAGTTTTGATATGGTGTGGAGTGAGAGTAGTTGATTGCGAGTCCATTTGCCGAGAATATTGCGTCAGTAGAGTTCTCCGTGATAGCCTGCTGCTTTTTACACGAGATAGCTTTTCGGATTGGCCGATGGCCCTTGCGCTGTTGATCGCCATTTGCGTAAGGACGATGGCCTGCCGCCCCAACAGCGCCGGGTCCAGGATTCCCGAGCTGCTGATCCGTCAGTGAATGGCGATTATGCGTTTTTTTTATCAGTCTCCTTCAGCTGTTCCTCCCTCTCCCGTGATTTTCCCTTGCCTTTACAGCTTGGCAGCGGGTTCGATCTGCTCTTGCTGTTACCGGATACTGTACCATGAGTTAATTAACCCTGGTAACCATCGTCGCATTAAGCGTCGCCAAGCTGTATTGTGGTTCGTGGTCAACCCGGTCCATAAACACATTCTACCTGTTTTTTCCCGTAGATCTTATTTCGATTTTCATTTCAATATGCCTCTACTTTTTTCAAAAAAATAATTTTAACTTTTAACTTTTATATGAGGAACTTGAAAACAGTTTATGGACGGGATAAATGCAACATATGCATGGTACTGCTAACAACACAAATCAAACTAATTCCAATATTCCGTCACGTGCTTGAAATGGGACATATAGGCGTAGCTAAGGGGGGTCGCGGCCACAAGGAGGCCATGGACCCCCTCTTGATCGGAGGGTACAAAAAATTTAGAGA